CCTTCCCCTCCTTCCCCTCCTTGAACAAATCTCCTCTCGCCCCCTCCCCCTCCCTCTACCTTATAAACCACCACTCCCTTCTCCTTCCTTCCCAACGTCTCTCGCTCGCCGAAACGAAAAAAAAAAGAAACCGAGAATAGAACAGTCACATTTTTCAGTCAACAAGTCTAGCTCCTCGCAACGGGCTTGAGCTTGCACTTCAGGGGGCCCTTCTCCCAGATGGTGTAGACGCCCTGGTTCACCCAGTCGTTGCTCTCGGGGCAGAGCTCGAGGTCAAAGTGCCAGAGGACGTTGGCGAGGATGAGGCGCATCTCGTGGTAAGCGAGGCTATCGAAAAAAAAAAGTCAGCCAGCCAGTTCACTCATCGGTGGAGAGGAGGAAATGAGCGAGAAAGGAAAAAAAAAGACGAGAATTCCAAGAATAACGACGCGACGCCACTTACTTCTTCCCGATGCAGTTCCTCGGCCCGTAACTGAACGGCTCCATGACGGCCCGCACATCCCCCTCGTACTTCTCCTCCCGCCTCGGGTCCGGCTTGCCCTCCTCGTCGCTGCCGAGCCACCTCTCCGGCACGAAGCTCTCCGGGTCGCAAAAGTTGCGCGCGCTCCGGTACGCGGCGTAGTGGCTGAGATAGACGCTGGTGCCCGCGGGGACGGGCTCGCCGCACACGACCCTGCCGCCGGCGGGCACGATGCGCGGCAGGCCGACGGGCACGGGCGGGTACATGCGCAGCCCCTCCTCGAGGCAGGCGCTGAGGTAGTGCAGGCGGGCGAGGGTCATCATGTTCATGTCGGCGGGGTCGGCGAAGGCGGCGCGGACCTCGCGGGCGAGGGCGGCGAGCTTGGATGGGTTTTGCAGGAGGTGGAAGGTCAGGCCGGAGAGGAGGGTGGCGGTGGTCTCGGTGCCGGCGAGCATGAGGGTGGAGCCGTTGGCGTGCATCTCCTCGAGGCGGAGCCCTTTGTCGGCGTCGTCCTTGCCGCTGTGGCGCAGGACGAAGGTCCAGATGTCCGGGCGGTCCGTGTCGCGGTTGGCGAGGCGGGTGTCGACGCGGCCCTCGGCGAAGGCGCGGTGCATCTTGCGCTTCTCGATCATGGCCGGGGTGATGAAGAAGCGCTGGATGGCGGCGCCGAGGGTGGGGAAGTTGTTGGAGATTGTGGCGATCATGACGCCCGTCTTGATGGCGCCGAAGATGGAGGCCACCCAGGGCGTGTAGTCGGATTGCTCGAGCAGGCCGAGCGGCTCGCCAAAGGCGAGGTCACCCATGATGTCGAAGGTGCAGTAGTTGTACATGCGCACCATGTCGATGCCGTCGGCGGCCGAGGCCGCGTCGGAGAGTTTCTCGACGAGGAGTGAGACATACTTGTTGATGAGCGGTTCTTGCTCGCGCAACGCCTTGTCGGAGAAGGCGTGGGCGAGGAGGCGGCGGTGCCGTGCGTGGTCCTCGTCGTTCGTTCTGTGGGATTGATCCTTCGAGTCAGCTGCAGGGGTTCCTTGCAGACTGTGGCGGGGGGGAAGCGCCACTGAAGATCGCAGCCACGGGGAGATGTGCGCCGGTATAAAAAAGGAGCCCCATCTGGCCCCCAACGGCCCGTTCTTCTCGCTTGGCTTTTCGTGTTTCAAGCGCCCTGTGCGTTGGGTGGAAAAACTCACCTGATGATACCGTTGAAGCCAGCGCTGTCGGGGCCGTAGAACGTCAAGTCTGGCGTCTTCGGTTAGCTCGCGAGTCGGCTGGGCGAGTGGAGACGCGTAATCGTGCTTGCCTTTGGACATTCCACCCCTGCCTCCGACCTTGTGGCCGTAGATGTCTCTCCAGGCCTCGACGGATGTGAAGGAGAGCTGGTCGGGGGCCAGACGGACGACGTCGCCGTACTTGTCGTGCATGGCCTTGGTCCATTTGGCCTGGAGCCCGCGGCAGCGGTTTATGGCATAGGGAATCTTGGAGGCGGCGGCGAACTTGGGTCCAGGGAATTTGTGCAGCGGGTGGAAATATACGTTGTAGATGGCGGTGCCAATGGCGTAGGAGAGCTGGTGGCCTGTGTGAGCAAGCAGAAGAGACGGAGAGACGGAGAGACGAAATACATACCAGCAGCAGGGCGGCTGCTCCCAACCCCAGCGCGGCGGTTTGGACTATGACGGCCATGTTGGACGAGCAGAGGCAGATGGTTTCTCAGAGCTGAGATGCGAGCGGCGGCAGCAGGAGGGGGGCAGTTAAATAGTGGAGTGACGCTGCGGCGAGGAAGGATGGCCGTCCTGGCCGCGTGGAAGATCGACGGGCGTATAGTGCAGGGCACATCCAAGGAGAGACAGGGTCACCAGCGCGTGAGGGATCGTCACCACGGAAGATCTGCACGGCGCCGTTTCAATTGACAGCTGCCTCGTGTCCTTTCTGCAGCCGCAAGGTGGAAGAAAACAACAGGCGTACCATGACGTCCCGCCGGGCTCCCGTCAACATGGAACTGCGTCGAGCAGAGCTCGCAGCCAAAGTTTGGATAGAGCAGTAGGTCTGAAGGATGGAGTGGGAGGCTGTTTTTTGGGCATGGGGACTGACTCAGGCGGTCCCGCTTGGATCCATGGCGGCACCCGGGCCACGAGCCTTGCCAAATAATGCGCGAGACCCTATTGCACGGCAGCGGGCCGGGGGGTAGGCCCGTTCAGGAGACGCAGGTGTGTCGTAGGTCGGCTTCGGGAACTAGGCGCCCGCGCTTCGGCCGAGGGCGTGCTTTGTGCAAGAAATGCGGAGAGCGGCGGAGAGTGGCGAGCTCTTCCCCGCGCTGCACAAGTCCAAGCCTTCGCAGCCGCTGCCAACCGTGCCGCGCCGTCTGCCGCTCGCGTCGACATGTCCCATGCCAGGATTCCCCATAGGATTGCCCGTATGTGTTTCGGCGCCAAGGCTGCCGGATGCTTGATAGTCACCGTGCCATCGATGTGATCGTTTGTATGTACATCGTCCGCTATAGTGGGATTGACGGAGATCCGGCTGTTCCCTACCCCGATCCCCCGCGCACGGTCGCGTGTTTGCCGGCACTTCTCGTACGAAGTCGGGTCTTGGCCCGGGCGAACGTGCTGTGCTGTTCAGTTGTTCAAGGTCGTGGTGGAGGTGTGAGGTGGAGGCGCTGGGGGGCGGCCGAGGTTAAGGTGTGGCTTCCTTGGCATGCAGCGCTCCTGCTGCTTATTGCCTCTTCCTGAATCAAGCCAGTCCACCCCACAGCCGTCACAGCAAGACGTGCCAAGAAGCAATGTCGGACAATCAACATCCTAGATTAAGATATCTATGTCCTATTTGTTTTTTTGTTTTTCTTTTTCTTTTTTTGTTCACTCCCATTTCCTTCCTGATTTTTTCCCCGCCCTCGCCTTCCACAGCCTTTGCCTCCGCCGCCAACCATGAAGACGCATCCTCCAACTGCTCTCTCTTCTCTCTTTCCTCCTCCCTTGCTTCTTGCAGTCAGTCAGTCCATAACCAGGTTTCTTTCCCCATGGATCTTCTATCCAGGGAACGGGGCCTTCCTCTCCATCCCCAAACCTTCTTCAGCAGTAAAAGAGTCAGGAAAAAAAAAGAAAAGATGATGACCAGAGTGTGGTAATCATGACCATGACGACCACAACAAGCGTGTAAAGCCTGTCATGTGGCCAAGTGCCCCCGAATACAGATAAGAAAACCTTTGATTCCCCGCCGAACCGAACTTGAATGTGGTTAAAACAATTCCGAACCAGCGATGTGAAAGTTTCCTTAGACGCCCGTGTGTGTTTTTGACCATCGATGAAAAGCCGTGGGGGTATCATCGAAAAAAGAGACCGTCAACCCAAATGAGACTCCAGTGATGTCGGTCCGTTCCTCCCATAGTCCATACGCTTTCTCTCTTTCTCTCCGTAATGTTTCTTTCCTCCAACGCTGGTGCGTGAGACAAAAGGGAAATGCAGCACCCGCTGTGCCGTGTGAATGAGGAAGACGCCGGCGAGGGAAAATGTAGGAAGCAGCAGAAGAAATGAGGGAATTAGTACGATGTCGACGCTGTCACATCAGGAGTCCTGCGTCTCCGTGGAAGCTTCAGCTCTTCACACGAAGAAACCCCCAGGACTGCTGACGTGTTTCGCCCAACCGCGCAGTAGGTAATATGTACGAGTGAACAACGAAACCAACCCCGAAAACGCCAACGAAATAAAAAAGGATTGTAACGCCTTAGGTGCAGGACCGTAGAGCCCCAGGAGCGCCAAAGCGTAACCCATGACCCAGGAGAGACAGCCATACCAGCCAAGAAAAACCGGTAACCCTTCATGCTTGCTAAGCCCGAGATCACAAAACGTGCCGAGGCCATAAAGCATGACGCTAATCGAACCCATGAGGATATTCTGGTGACCGCCCAGGAATCATCCCCCCAGAAAAACTCCGCGAACGGAAAAAGCCAAGGAAAACGACAAGACTCAGCAATGCTCAAAGGAAAGAACGAAGAAGAAACCAAAGCAAAAGGATCGCGGTCGATGGTGCTCTAAAACAATTACAGGAGGTATCTTGAAATCCTTAGGTAGCAGAAATTCCGGACATTGATAATTGTTCGTCCGTTAAAGGGGCCAAAAGGGACTTGCATGACTCTATATCATCTGGATGCAGAAATCATAGAGTCGACGAACCCGGAAAATAAGGCAAAGCTCCGGATCCAAGATGTTCGCACCACCAAAACGCCCGCTCGTTTACGTATCTACAAGCTGAAGCTTGAGAAGGCGCTTCAAATCATTTTCCATGAGCTTCGTGTCGACAGCAGGGGACTGGTCGCGAGGAACGTCAGATGCCGCCGTGTGGGTGAAAGGCGACCTCAAGCCAGGGTGGTGGCTGTACGGCGGCGCGAGAGAACCCTGCACGCCGGCCGCCTGGATGTGCGTGTTCAAGAAATCGCGCGAGAAGGCCGACGGGTCGGGTTTGCCGCCCGCAGGGCGAGAAGGCGTGGCGGGAAGCGGTGCCGAGTGCGTGACCGGAAGCTCCACGCGGTTGTGGGTCGAAGGAGAAGAGTCCAGCTCCTGACGAAGGGCCGAGGCACGCTTGGCGGAATCGCCCTTTGCGGCCTGGAACAAAGGCGAGAGATTGCGATTACCATAATAATAAGGATTCGCCTCCAAATTGATCTGGCCTGCAGGAGTACGAGGACCGCCAGAAACCTGCCTGGGTCCGGGACTGGGGCGATAGAAAGGAGACGGAGTATGGAAATCCTGGCCATTCTGGGGCGGAGTCCCGGCAAATCCGGTTGCCAGAGGCGACTGGGCTGCGAGTTTCTGGGAAGCAGAAAACAGATCCTTCAGAGCTTGGGGGTAGGACTCGGACTCTTGAGCGGCCCGAGGAACGTCCGAAGGCGCGGAAGTCGTCCTAGTAGCAGACATGCGGTGAGCTGGAGAGGGGGGACCCGCCTTCGGTGTGGTCGCTGAACCACCATCCATCTCCATGTTGAACATGCCGTGTTTGTTGTTGTTTGAAGCATGTCTCATGTGGTTGCGTGCATGGACCGGGGCGGGGCTCTTGCCAGGAGGGGTAGCAGTGCCCAAGAGGCTGGCCTTTCTCGCCTTCTCCTCGCGGTCTGCCTTGAAGAAAAGATCCAACGGGGACTGCTCGGCTTGCGGCCGTGCAAGGATTCGATTGACAGGTGTGGCTCCGGCAAGTGGCGGAGACTCACTCTTCTCGCTGGTACCACTACTGTCCGATTCCTGTTCCAGGCGGGTTTGCATAGTTGCCGGAGCATTGTTCGCAGGCACAGACTTGGAGAAGAACTTGGGCATTGGCAGCGACGAAGCGGCGGGGGAAGCGTGGAATGCGGGGCCGGCATAAGCGCTGTCTTTGGCAGGAGTGGCAGCGTCTGGCATGCCGTTCTGCTTGGGCGGGGAGCCACCTTGAGCGGGGGTCGGCTGCCGGTCGCGACGGCCGCCACGTCGATTCTTGTTGTTCATCGCAGGGGCCGGGCTGTCGGAGACGGACCCGTCGAAGCGGTTTGGCTTTCTTCCGTTCTGCTGCTCATTGTGGCCGGCGCTCATGTAGCCTTGCACTAGCGCAGTGTCGGACGCACTCGGATTAGGGTGCGCATGGTGCTGGCTGTTGTCGTGGTTGTTGCGATTCCTGCCCTGGCGGCGCTGGTTCGATCTCGCGGGGGATGCGTATGAGTCGGCCGGGTTGGAGATTGACCGGGCGGGTGTTTCACTCTTGGAGTGACGGTGGGGAGCCTTGGGGCCTTTGGAGGGCGTCGGCATGACCTCGGACATTGGCGCGTCTGTCACGGAGGATGTAGAGAGGATGGGATGCTGTAGGATAGCGGTCGCGCGACTTCGGAGTGGGAAGTAGATGGCGGAGTGACGTAGTGTGAGTCGTTCGATGTTGTTATGTACGGGTTCGGAGGTAAGGTGGGGGGCGGGAGGTCGATTTCGTTCTTGTGATGGATGGCGCGCAAGTGGTGGACATGTATAAGAATGAGGATGTGGTGGTAAAGAGGCTGGCTTGAAGCTTCATGGCCAGAGAGAAGGCGGGTTGGTGAAGTGGTGCGGTCGCGGGAAGGGCAGGGCAGGCCTTGGGCCGCTTCGCTTCTTGTTGCGAGGAGGCGAAGCAGCCGGCCCGAGATAGGCTTAGCGCCGGAAAGCGCAGCCTAAGCCTTGTCGCCCATCGCCGACGCAGGCAGCTCAGGTGCGAGCTCCGCCCGCGCCGTGACTGCTCAACCGCCGCCCACAGCGACAGCGACCTCAAGCCGTGGTGCTGCCTGTTTGCCGCAAGCATCTGCTTCCACACCACATTCTCCTCCGCCCTTGCCCACGACGCATCCCTCCGCCCACCTTCTTCTCACGCGCCGATTCCCCGCCGACGTTTGCGTCCGCCCTGCCATCCTCCGAGCAGCGTCATCCATCACCACCCACCTCCATTCCTGCAGGCCAGCACCCCAGTCCGTTCCAACTTTACCCGCCACGACGCTTCCAGTAGCCCAACATGGCCGACGTCGACATGACCGACGCACCCACTGCGCCGGCGAAGGCCAAGACCTCCAAGGCAAGCGGCGAGGCAGCTGGTGAGGGCAAGAAGAAGTTTGAAGTCAAGAAGGTATGGCACCCGCATTTGGAGCTCGGCTGAAGTGATGGGGGGATGCTGAGTTTCTGTAGTGGAATGCGGTGGCTCTCTGGGCCTGGGATATCGTCGTGGACAACTGCGCCATTTGCCGCAACCACATCATGGACCTCTGTAAGCCGCATCCATTTGACTTCACCAATCCATGCTTACCGTCACTGCAGGCATCGAGTGTCAGGCCAACCAAGCCTCCGCGGCGTCCGAAGAGTGCACTGTGGCGTGGGGTATTTGCAATGTAAGAGTGCACTCGGATTGAACCACCATCGAGCATTACTGACATACGCGTAGCACGCATTCCACTTCCACTGCATTTCCCGGTGGCTCAAGACCCGTCAAGTCTGCCCTCTGGACAACCGTGACTGGGAGTTCCAGAAGTACGGCCGTTGAAAAGAACCATCAAACACACTTAAAAATCCATGCACTCTCGAGAGACGGCCGTGCTTGATCCATGCGCATTCAAGGAGAAAACTAGTTATGGCTGTGACGACGACGGGACAGTGGCGGTGCACACAATGGCGTTTCAGGGTTGCGCAAGTCGCAACAGGTCTATTGCAGCGTAATGGGTATCGGACACGAGGTATGAGGTGCTATAGAGCAAGACTCAAGTAAGGCTTCATTTATTGCGCCCGCAACGCCTCCCATAGTGATGTCTGAAAATCGTAACACGCTACCCGACCCTGCTATTGCAACGACATCATGTCACCTCGACCTCAATGCCGCTCAGACCAGCCGATTGCGGAGGCAGCCAGTTGACAGGATTCTTGTTGAAGAAAGGCCAAGGCGGAACAACGGCAACGAAGGTAAGGACGGCACCGCCTAGGAGGATCCGCAGGGCAAGGGCAATGTCTTGGGTGGAGTAGCCGACGAGGAAGGCGACAATCTAGGTGGAGTCAGACAAAAGCTCAGAATTGCGGTAAAGGCGAGGGCTTACGCCGGCGGTAGTGAGCAGCGCGGTGGTCAAGAGCTCGGCAAGACGCTGGCCATCGAAGTCCTGGGGAGCAAGTCAGCGGGAATTGCGCAGACACTTTGTCGGACAGCGCACAATCTGGCCTTCGAAGAGGTCGCGCGCCTTTTCCAGCAGGTCGTCGGCCATGGCGGGCGCGTTTTGGGTGCAGGGTAAGGGTCGGGTGCGGGCGATGATGAAGCTGAAGCTACGTCGCCGCTGCTCGGGCCGGAACGCGAATGCCGCTCGAGGCCCCGCACGGGTCAAGTGGAGCGAAATGATTGGGCTCTAGCCAGGCACGACGGGCGCTGAGCCGCCTCAAGTCATGGCATCGCAGTGAGATACAAAAGAATTAATATAGACTTGTGGTGATCCGTCATCATGCCTAGATAGTTCAAGCAGATATGCGGATGAAGATGCGAACATTGAAGCTGTAACTACTGTGTATGATTCCGCTGCCCTGGTAGGTGGGCCGATTTCTCTCGTCGCCCACTGTGGCCTCAAGTCATGGCATTCGTATCTTCGACGGCGGCCTGCAGCAGTTCTTCATGCAAAAGATAAATGACTCACATGCGCGACGGGAAGACGGGGTGCCGATTGCCCGGGCGGTCGCCTCTAATAATGAGTGTTGGGGTTGGGGTCGAGAGGGTCTAGAGGGCAAGCCCACTTAGGCTAAGACAAGCTCTCGAATGCCGGCTGCCGCCCGAGAAATCTTTCAGCTGTCACCAGTTTCCGCCGCCCCTCCCTTTCCTTCCACCACGACACTTCTGTCCGCTTGGGACTCCCTTGAAAAAAAAAAGAAACCCACTACTCGCACCCTACCAGATCCCCGTACCGCTCCTTTTAAAGCGCCTGCTCCCGCATCGATACCTCAGCCCTCTTCGTCCCCTGTGGACTGGCGTCGACGTCACGCACGGTCTAAAACACCGGACGATACCCCCGTAGCCGTGGTGACCGGTCGCTCCCACTGACCTCGCCCTATTGCGCCTAGTTGTGCGCCCAACGGCCTCTTCGCCCCTCGCCATCTTGCCCCCGACCGTTGCAGCCCAGGCGCCTAGGCGTCTTTCGTCATAAACACCACCAAGTTGGCGGGCACTCAGGTTCTCGGCTTCTCTTTCATTTACCCCCTTCTCGGCCCACGCGTTTGGGTCTACGGGGCCGACACTAAGCCGTGAGTCCGTCGGCTTCCTACTTTTCGCGCTTCTCTGACCTATGACGCACAGCCCATAACTGGTTTCCAGCCGCATCCGAGCCGCTCACTTGCCCTGACCACAAACACTCTGTATCCGCACGCTCTCGGTGGCGTCGGTGGAGGTACTTGCCTACCTCAAAGAAACTCCCCCGGCTTAGTGTAGGGCAGATCCCTACGCGAAGCCAACCAGTCAAGTTGACCGTCCACACGCGGTGAGCGCCCACAAGCGGCTCGCCAGACAAAAGGTCGCATTCAGGATACAAACCACCTGGATCATCGCGCGCAACTCTAGAACAAGCCTGCCCCGCAACACTTGTTGCGCGACACCCCGAGAACCAGGCGCATCGCACCGGCCGGCAAAATGACCGACACCCCAAGGTCTGAGCACTACCCTACGAGGTTCAGCACCCCGGTGTCTGAACTCGACGACCATCGCCACCAGCAAGCATCAATGCCACGTGTGGACAATGCCAGCCCTTCGCGCTCGCGTCGCGGCACCGTCACGAGCATTGCCGCTCCCAGACCCGCACGTCCGGATCTCCTTTCCGTGAACAGTGCCCTGGAACGCCAAGGCATGATTGCGAGGGATTTTGAGAACGCCATCGTGGACGACGACAAGAGCCCCAGCGACAATGGAGACAACAACAATGCTCTCTTCGGACGCCGCGGTTCTGTGAGCCCGATGGCGAGGAGGGACACTTTCCGTCGGCTTAGAGATTCACAGCCGGATGCCCGTCCGAGGTCCCATGCTTCCACCAGATCCTCGGATTCCGTGTCGCCTCCAAACTCCGTGGACGCATTCGCCGATCCGCGGCGCCGAGACCGCGCAGGCACCATCAACAGCCAGCGCCCACCGTCGGACGTGGATCTGCGCCTGCAGCGCACCATCTCCGAGGCCACCAACCGCCGGCGCCCAACGTTCAGCGAGGAAAGCCGCCATGGCACCATCAAGGATGAGACAATGTCGCGGCGAAGTTCGGTGGAGGAAGATGTGTGCTTCCCGGTCGAGGAGTCCAGCAACACGTACCAGATTGACTTCGAAGAGCTCGAGGAGTTTGTTGCCACAAACCAGACCAAGACTCCCGTTATTCCGCTGTCCCGAAAGCCAAGCAAGGTCAGCATGAATTCCCAACGCTCGAAGGTCAAGGTCTTCCACGATCTTCGCCGCAAGCAATCTGCCGAAGATATTGCGATAGGTGCTGGGGATGGTTTCGAGCACTTTCCGCAAAATGTGGAAAGTGGCACCGACATGGAGGACGAGAAGGTCGACGTGCACATTGAGAACCCGGGCCACCTTACTGCTTTGCACGAGCAACATGTCAATAGGTGGGCCTTCTTCTCTTCCGAGCTGGACGATACCATCCACGCGACGGATCTGGGAGGACTTCTTATGCCTGGGGAGAGATTCCGTGATCTCTTCGAGCTTCCCCCGGACGCTGGAACATGGTGGCTCGACATGCTCAACCCAACCGAGGAAGAAGTGTTTGCGATCTGCAAGGCTTTCGGGGTGCACCCTCTCACCCGCGAGGATATCCTCACCCAGGAGGCCCGCGAGAAAGTGGAGCTCTTCCGCGCCTACTACTTTGTTTGTTTCCGTTCGTTCTACCAGATGGACAAGGAAAGCGAGGACTTCATGGAGCCTGTCAACGTTTACGCCATCGTCTTCCGCGAGGGGCTGCTGACCTTTACCTTCGCACCAAACCCGCACGCTGCAAATGTCCGGAAGAGGATTGGCCGCCTTAAGGACTACATCTCTCTCAGCTCTGACTGGATCTGCTATGCGATGATGTAAGAACCTTGCTGTCATGAGTTTGGATCAAGATTACTGACTAAAAACCCTACAGCGACGAGATTGTTGATAGTTTCGGTCCTGTGATCCGTGACATTGAACACGAGACGGACGCCATCGAGGATCAAGTGTTTACCGCACGCGCCGAGGACTCGCGCGCAATCCTGCGCGCCATTGGTGAATGCCGCAAGAAGGTCATGTCGATGATGCGACTTCTGGGTGGCAAAGCCGATGTCATCAAGGGCTTCGCCAAGCGCTGCAATGAGCAATACAGCGTTGCCCCTCGTGGTGATGTTGGGCTCTACCTCAGCGATATTCAGGACCATGTCGTCACCATGATGAGCAACCTGTCCCATTTCGAAAAGATGCTCTCGCGTAGCCATTCCAACTATCTGGCGCAGATTCAGGTCGACAGCTTGAGTCAAGGCAACAATATCAACGAGATGCTCGGCAAGATCACGGTCATTGGTACCATACTCGTTCCGCTCAACTTGATCTGCGGTCTTTTCGGCATGAACGTCGCTGTCCCGGGTGTCAACAGCAACAGCTTGGGCTGGTTCTTTGGCATTCTTGGGGTCATGTGCGCGTTCGTCGCAACCTGCCTGGCGTTCGCAAGGAGGATGCGGTATGTCTAAATGCAAACCTGCCAACCGAAGTCGGTCCCGCGGACCTGGCGGCACTACGCCTACCTTCCTTTGTCTTCTGTTTTGACTTTGTCCTTGACGCAGTATTCCCCTGCTGTGTCTTTCCGAGGCTATTCCATCATTGGATGATATAGTTTTAGTTTTCACTTTTTCTTCTTGCCTGCTCTGTTGACCTGTACTTTGCATTACTAACCTTCAATTGTCTTTTGAATTCCTGTTTGTTTAATGCTCCTGGCGTCGTTGGCAGAAAATAACTTGGGATATACCTACATTTGGGTGGCGGAGCGGCGAGCGGGCTGATCACGGGGGCGTCTGTGGTAGTGGTCTTCTGCATGTACCTTGTGCTACGTACAAACGAAGTTAATACTTGTGCTTGAACATGGTCTCCATTGCCGCAGATACACACCGTCCTTGTCATGCGAACGCTGGTCAACTTCCCCGTTCCTCTCGCCCATCACGCCACTGTCCAACACCACCGCACTCTCTCTACTACGTCCCGCACTATGGTCTTCATCATGTCTTTCCCAGTCCTCCCAACTGGCCAACCCACAAGGGTAGCAGAATCCTATATCTGGATACACTCTTACAGGTATAATATCCCCGTCCACATCCGAACATCTGCTTTAACTCCTTACGAAGGAAGGTCGTTTAACCGTCATACTTGATCAACTGACCACACAAATGATGGCCGTAAGTCAGCTTCTTTTGTCACCCACTGTGGTGCTGCAGGTAGAACCTCGGTCAGTGAGTGTTTCTACCAGTATTTCTGTTTACAATATTACCAGACATTGTAGGTCTAAGAGAAAGTACCAGCGACTTTCAAGGTTTTGACTTGTTCTAAGAAACACGATTGGTGAGCGTCGGATTTCCCCTCACTCCGAGCAGCATGGGGTTTTGTTTGTACGACAAAACGCAGTCGACGAGAACAGGTCATCTGGGCGATAAGCGTAGCGTTAGTCTATGCATAGTAGCCAAGACCAGGAGTGGAAATCTGTCAAAGGGTAGAAGCAGGAGGGGGGAAACCAGGCTTGTCATATCCAACACATGGAGGCCGCACATATCTGGTTGGCTTATCGCTCATAACCAGTTAACAATACTTTAGCAAAGGAGTACACTAGCCATGTTACACACGCAACATACATTCAGAATTGCTTGTACGCGCACCTGACTCAACAAAGACGCGGCATCGGCCTGTCCTGGTCCATCGCCATGAAAAATCAAGCCAAACAACACCCGCATTCGAATGATCTAACTCAATCGTCAAGCGGATGATCAGGCTGTATCAGTGGAAGAGAACCAATGTGCCGGGAACATCCGCCACAACGTCTATTACGCGGTGGCGTTAGATAACATACATAAGTAGTGTTACCTCGGGATGAGACCCTGGTCGCCAGGACAAAGACACTATTTCAGCGTCATTCTGACGAAGTAAGTCAACAAGAGCCTCGTAGATGATGCTTTTGGAATGAACAGCAGTATGACCTGGCGCGACACCTGAGGATAAGTGCGGGTAGTATGGCACTTTGACCGGCTGAGTGAGGCCGCGCTTACGGTGTGACAAGCAATTGTCGTCGACGCCACTATCTTTTCGTGTTCGGTGGATGTCTGTCCCACAGAAAAAAACATACATGTGTGCCGAATGTAGCACGTGGAGCCCTTCTGTACGATCAAGGGGCGCCCAGGCTGCGGCTCCCTCAAGAGCCTCGGGTTCAGCTCTCCCGTCTTCGGTCGCCGACATGTCTCCATCGCCACGATCGACATGGACCGAAGCGACTACGAGTACAGCACTCTCGAAGTTGACGATACGCAGTGTCTGACTCAAATAAAGTCCAACACCCGGCATGACGTACCGGAAACACAGCCTGGAAACAGCCTTCCTGAGGCCTTCCCAAGTGATGCGCCGGAGGTGATTGACGGCAGAGAAGGCGCCAGGCCACGGAGGAGCATGCTATGCGGGTTACGTAGGAAGACTTTCTGGGTCGCATTGGCCACAGGAGTGACGCTCATCGCAATATCCATAGCAGTCGGCATCGGCGTCGGTGTGACATCCCAGAAGAACAGCAACAGCAGCAGCACCGCGCCACCGTCACCGTCACCATCACCATCTGGAAATGTTGCATCTTTCTCGCGTCTTGCAGCGGCAAACTATACTGATAGACAAAAAGCCGAGCATACCCTGGTATATTATCAGGACGACGCCCTGAACCTCTGGATGGCGGATCTGGATCTCACGAAAAACGCATGGACCCAATCCCAAGTCAACACCACCGGATACAAACCCAAAAATGGGACTCCGATTGCAGCGATTAACATCAAGATCCAAGCGGTGAGTGCTGTGTCGGACCAATGCTCACAGAGTCGTGGCTGACGTCTTTCGACGCCATCAGCGCGTCGATCTCCACATCCGCTTCGTGTCCGAAACGAACTACATACGCGCCCTCTTCTTAGATCGGCTCAACAACCGAGACTGGCGGATAGCCCACAAGCCGGACAGTGTCTGGTCGGTTACGGACGAGTCGAACCTCGGGGATTACTACGCACAATGCGACGGTTGCGACAGCACCGGCTTCATGATCTTCCAGTCGGACCACACGCACAAAACCGCCTTTGCCTACCCGTACAATGACTTCTCGTTCAACAACTCTATACCCGATGGCATTGTCCCGGACCTTGGCACGGCATACGCTCTTGCCCCCATACAAGCGATCGAGGAGCTCGGCGATACCCATGGGTACGCCGGGATATACCTCAGCGTGGATCAAGCACTCCGAGAATTCTACTTTGCGACCGGCCATGGAGTGAAGGTCACGAACGTCAATCGTGAGTTGAAGTGATTCAAGTCCGTCCACCAAGCGTCTTCTCTGCTGACACATGTGCTCATTGGAATAAGTGACGATGACCGTGGACGCCGGAGCGCAGATCGCAGCCATGTCGTACGCGCAAAACGGCCTGAGATACGTGCAAGTGCTCGTGACGCGCGAGACCGGAGGCGTGCAGATGGCGTACCTGGATGGCGGACCTGCTCAGGACTGGACTTGGACGGATGTGGTTGGCGGTATGGAGGAGGTGGTCCCGCTGTCGCCCATCTCAGCGACGCCGGTCGGACGGGTCTACGCGCTTGAAGAGGGAGAAAATGGCCGCCGCCGGATTGTCGAGTTCAACCGGACGTCGTCCACTGGGATTCCAAAGTTCGAGCGCTTGGGACCCATCAATATCACAGCAGTGTCGACATGACGCCAAGGTCTATCAGCAAGATGAGCTTGATAGGTAACGTGCCCGCGGAATGGGAGAAGAAAACTGTGAAGCGTGGCGCTGTGGGGGTTTTTGGCTGTTGAACTCGTTTACATCACGCTCGCGATTCGTCCACTTGACTTGAAGGATGCATGTCCTACAGCCTCCGAAAACGTTAAGTGATGATTGTCCAATCACCTCGCCTGATAACCTGGTGCCTGCCGACGCACTCCGCTTTCGGTAATTTCACGCAGACACGGTTTCTGTTGCCTGAACCCTGCCAGCATGTAAGCTGCTCTTTCAATCTCCGAGATTGAGTCCATGGATTGGCAACGGGCACTGCGCACGGCATCCTGCTGCATCTCTTGAAGACACGTGCCCGGGATGAAGCATTGGCAGCACTCACTGTCCGATAATCCATGCAACGTGGTGTTTCTGTGGTATGAAGCGGAGAGGGTGGCGTTGAAGAATCAGTTGTAGGTAGTGTGGATATGTTGCGGTCAGTCAGCGGTAGGCAAGATAGTGATAAAGAGAAAAAAAAAGGATAAGAAGAGCATACGGTCACACAGTCCATAAAGCGACGTTACCGTCCAAGCGGACACTGAAAAAGCCGTCAATGCCTGCGCACCGAATAAAAGACAAACCCTCCCCCCTCTCATTCAAAAAGGCTCCGCCACTCACCGCTCCCTCGCCAACAACACACATGGCCACCTGCGAGTTAGCCTAATAATTACCAAAAGCAGCTAGCGCCCTGCGCGAACCATCAACGCAAACACGAGGGTCCCCATTGGCCGGGCCAGCATAGACCTGCAAATGATTATTAGGCCACGTCGCACGGTCCAAGCCGACGTAAGCCAGTACCTAGGTCGTTAGTGCTAAGTAGAAAATAAGGAGAGAGGTTTCACAACAGACAAACAGCGGCCGCGCGTCACCAGCCCAGCACTCCCCCAACGGCGAAACTGACAGCACACAGCACCGGGCTATTATCATTGTTCACCCAGAAAGACTAGCTCGTCGTGTGGTCGTCATCCTCGCGGCTAAGCCTTTTCGCCAAGACGTGCGAAGCCTTCTCGCGCCGTTGGCCTAAAGGATTGCGTGATCGAGTACGGATAGTGGCGGCAAACGTACGTCGTCCCGTCCCCCCCGCACCGTGGCCAAAGTAAAGATTGAGGTGGACTTGACGTCGACCGTCGTGGAGAGATTCACTATAAAGAAAGCAAGACGACTGCCGGATGTCGCGCATGCGTCAGAATGCCTGCCCGCCGCGCGTACTGAGCAAGCGTTGTTAGGGAAAAACTCAAAAATACGCGGAATAATACCTTAACACCCTGACAGCAGAGACATTATTCAGGGCTGCAACGATGCGCGCCGGACGGACGAAACGCGCGCTAGGTGGAAACGGATATGCAGGTACCGCGCGGCGGCGCCGGCAACAACCACTCCATCCACAACTGCCGGAAAAACATGATCGACGGCGAGCGTACGCGGCCTAGTAGATGGCATCAACCCCGAGCTCCGGTTCCCCCTTCCGCCCGTCTCGGCCAATGGGCTACCATGGAATTCAATTGAGCGCTGTTGCTTACGACGCGCTTGTATGGATGGACGGGAGCGTTGGAAAGTAGGTCGGTGTGCAGCGAGTACACATATACATACCTATAGGCGCGCTGCACTCCGTACTTCCTTTCCCACCCCCCATCCCCCCTTCCCTCCAACCCTCTCGCACCCTCGGCGCGCCCACCCACCAAAATGAAGAGCGCCACCCTCCTGCCGGCTCTCCTGCCGGCTCTCGCCAGCGCGACGACGCACCACCTCCTCGTCGGCACCTTCTCCGGCGCGCACCTCTACGCCGTCGCCTTCGACGACCAGACACACGCCCTCAGCCTCGCCGCCAACCTCACCGCCCACGCCGCGCACGCGTGGATCGCCCTCTCGCACGACAAGAGCGTGCTGTACGGCGTCGAAGACGGCGGGTGGACGTCGTATTCCATCGACAGCGCGACGGCGGTGACGCACACGGCGACGCTACCGCTCACGGGCGCCAACTGCAGCAACGACAGGAGCATCTTCGTCGTCGCGGCGCGGGAGCCGCCGTACAACGTCTACGGCGACCCGTTCGGCGACTGCGCCAACGTGCTGAGCGTCGACGAGGCGGGCGCGCTCGAGGCCGTCGCGCAGAACGTGACCTACACGGCGGGCACGTCCGGGGTGCACGGCATGGCGCTGTCGGTCGACGGGCGGTTCGTGTACGCGGCCGACGACTCGGGCAACGCCGTGTGGACGCACAGCGTGGACGAGGCGACGGGGCTGTTGACCGAGGTGAGCAGGCTGGAGGCGCCGAGCGAGGGCGCGAATCCGAGGCATGCGGCGGTGCATCCGAAGGGGGGGTATCTGTACGTGGTGTTGGAGGAGGCGAACAAGTTGGCGCAGTACAAGCTTGATACCGAGACGGGGTTGCCCGTGTTTGAGAACGTGACGTATCCGTTGATCCCGGAGTCAGGTGAGTTGCCCGCAGGCCTGCTCTTTGACACAAACTCTCTCTCCCCTCGCTCTTTCCCCGACAAGCATCGGGCTCGATAGCTAACGCCTCTCTCTCTCACCCCAGAACTCGCCACCAACGTCGCCAACTACTGGTCCGACGACGTCGCCGTCGCCGCATCCGGCGACTTCCTGTGGGCGTCGGCACGCAGCCGCGACGAGACCAAGCCGGGCTACATCAGCGGCTACACGCTCTCCTCGACGGGGGCCATCCTCAAGCAGGTCTTCCTGACCAACACGACGACGTCGGGCGGCTCGGCCAACGCCGTCACGCCCGCGCCCTTTGGCAACGAGTTCGTCGCCCTGACGGACACGCAGGAGGAGTTCCTGCAGGTGTGGAAGAGGGACGCCAATGGCTCGATTGCCGAGGTGGTGGCGCGGTTGGATCTGCAGGACGGCGGGTGCTGTGCCAATGCTGTTTGGTTGGACTGAGGGTATAGCGAGAGAAGGAAAGCTGGACGTTGGTTTATGACATTATGGGGTTGCATACCTGCCCTTGCATCTGCCTTTTGCCGCATGTCGTCGACTGTGTATGGGGTTCGGGAGGATTGGCGAGCAGCCGGGAGCTTGAACGGCTTGGCGCGGGCTCGAGCTGAAAAAGGCAGGTGCTTCGGGACATGTGGTACACATGCTCGGGAATATCGGGCGTAGACGTTGAAAGCGAGTTGCCTCTACGTACAGTCGGAGCGAATGTCAGTTACGAGGAAACGGAAGCGAGGTCCCATCAATATTGGTCGCCTGTGAAGAATGGGGAGGATCATGCGGAGGAGTGGGGCCGGCCAATCGGGAGACGGCTCGACGCCCGCTCTTCGCCCGCTCTTCGCCCATCGAGTAGCGGGATGTGCTTGGCAGAGTGCTTGTCGTTGCTGGAGACGCGCCGAAGACTGAGGGCAAGAATGAGAATGTCAGTGGTGGCCGCTTCCTCTGGATGGAGATGTGGACGAAGCCCGGACGACGAGGCAAGAGCCTGCGGGCGGGTGGCCCAAGCTCCCTTTCCCCGCCTTGGCTTTTTTTTCCTGGGCCTGGACTGCCTGGACTGCCATTGATCGGGTAATGCTTTCGCGTTACATTCGACATTTCGACATGGGCTATCTGACGCCTGGGACCGTGGAACGGGCCGAGATGGCCAGTGTGTGCAGCCTTTCTCCTCGGCGATGGCCGCACCGCTATCACGCCGCCAAGAGGGCCGCCAGCAAGCTCTGCACAGTTACCGCGTTGGGCATGGTCGCCGCTCTGTGCCTGGCAGTGATAGGCTGATCCCCCGGCTGATGCGCATGCGATAACGAGCCAATTCCACCCGTCCCTGGCTTGATCCAACCTATACCCCACCTTGCTCTTTTTTATAGCCGCCGAGATGCCCGCCCGCCGCTCGTTTTCTTCTCGACAGAAGCCTCCTGCTTTCTCTTGTCGTTGGCATTGAGCTGCACCACCGCGCCAGCCATTAACCACGATGCTGTCCGCCGCCGCCACCACGCTGCTGCTCGCCGCCGCGCCGCTCAGCGCCGCCGAGAGCATCTTGGGCGTCTATATGTTCCATCGGCATGGTGACCGCACCCCCAAGGCGCTCAAGCCCGCCAACCTCACCGACCTGGGCTACCAGCAAGTCTACCAGAGCGGCCAGTACTACCGCAGCCGCTACGTCGCCTCGGACGCCGACTTCAAGATCGCCGGGCTCAACACCGACATCGTCAAGCAGACCCAAATCACCGTGACGGCCCCGGCGGACACGGTGCTGCAGAACTCGGCCACGGGCTTCCTGCAGGGCCTGTACCCGCCCGTCGGCAGCGACGTGTCGGTCGAGACGCTGGCCAACGGCAGCGACGTGTCGGCCCCGCTGGACGGCTACCAGCTGATCCCCGTGGGCATGACGAGCACCGGCGGCGGCAGCGAGGACGCCGGCTGGCTGCAGGACACGTCCGACTGCGGCGCCGCCGAGACGAGCTCCAACAACTACTTCCTGTCCGACGAGTACACGGCCACGCTCGACTCCACCCGCGACTTCTACCAGACCCTGACCCCCGTCGTCAACGCCACCTTTGACGACGACTACGTCAGCTTCAAGAACGCATACGTCGGTCCGTACCACCACCCCAAAAACCCCACCTCAAAACCCCACTAACATAACCACACCAGTCTGGGACCTCATCAACGTCGCCACCATCCACAACACCAGCATCCCGTCCTCGACCCTCCTCACCAACTCGACCCTCCACCAGCTCCGCACCCTCGCCGACGCCCACGAATGGGGCCTCGCCTACAACGCCTCGGACCCCATGCGCGCCGTCGCCGGCATGCAGCTCGCCGGCGAGGTCCTGCAGTACCTCAACAGCACGCTCACGTCGTCGGGCAGCAAGAAGCTCGGCATCCAATTCGGCGCCTACGCCACCTTCGCCTCGTTCTTCGGCCTCGCGGGGCTGGGCGACGTGGACGGCGCAGAATTCCACGGCGTCGTCGACTACGCGTCCAGCATGGCCTTCGAGCTGTACACGCCCGCCAACGGCTCGACCGTCAAGGACGTCGACGAGGCCGATCTCTACGTCCGCTTCGTCTTCCACAACGGGACCGCGGGCGCGGGTAGTAGCGAACCCGTCGCGTATCCGTTGTTCGGCGGCAGCAATTCTTCCGTGTCGTGGAGCGACTTCGTCAGCAACATGCAGGGCTTCGCCATCGCGTCGACGCAGCAGTGGTGCACCAAGTGCGGGAACTCGACGGGCACGTGCGCGGCGTACGCGGACGGTGGCGACGGCTCGGCCGGCGGCTCGTCGAGCGGAGGCGAGGGGAAGAGTGGCGGCGGTGGGAGCAACGGCATCTCGACGGCCGTCGGCGGCGTCATCGGCGCCATGGTCACGCTGGCGGTGGTGCTGGGCCTGGAGGCGCTGGTCATGGTCGTGGGGGGCTTCAGGTTGGCGAGGAAGAACAAGAAGGCGACGGGGGCGAACGGCGCTGCGCCCGCGGCGGCGGAGGCGAAGGCTTGATTTTGATTGATTGTGCTGCATGTGTGGTGGTGGTGGGAAGATGATGTGGGCGGTGGGCGGCGGCCGGCGGCCGGCTCGAATTAAGTGTTGGGATGGAAGCTGAAAGGGGCATAATGTTGGAAAGATACCAAGGGAAAGCTTGATGCTCTCGCTCTACGAATTCGACGTGTTTCTATGAAGAAGAGACGGACTGAGCAGCCGTTTGATGTTTTTACGGCTGTAGAAAAAGATCTAATGGCATGCGCTATGCCGGCGTAGACAGACGCTGTTGCTTTGCCAGGCTGCTTCAATATGTCATGCGACAGGTTGCAAAGTGAGGCTTGAAATTGTCCTTGGGTTCAATTTCCGGCAATTACATACAGCCGTGATGTATAGGCTTGTTGTCTTGTGACCCTTGTCCAGTGGGCCGGAATGATATGGCTCACTGTTATAGTCGTTGTAGTGCAGTATATAGCTTAGTCATCCGCACACCCTGAGTCGCCACATCCAATGTGTTCGAACTTGATACACTACTGCAACAACTGCTTATCTACTTCCCAGCAAGACCGCGGTGTCGCAATTGCTACAGAGGGTTTTCTTCAATTGTTCGCATCCGGCCCATGTACGTACCATCACACTCGTCTTTGATTACTGATGTTCTGAAAGGTCAAATTTCGCTGCGCGCGGCCAACATTGAGATGTTGGGGATTCTTCTCTGGGACTGCTCTTGCATGGGGAATAACACAAAAATTCAGCCCGAGGCTATGGTGGTAGCTATCCAATCCCGAGATTATCACCAAGGGCGCCCCTCGAGGCAGGCGTATTCCATTTCGCACATCGGCAAATCTGCATGTAGCATCCACTTAGTCCCAGGTTTCGTTTTAAATTCTGCCGTCAAAAAGCTTACAACATGGTTGTGAACGCCGGCTCAGCGCAGTTGCGGTTCGCTTGCTTACGAGGCGCATCTTGCGGGATTTGTAAGCGCTCAGAAGCGGCACGATGTCAATACCCTTCCTCAAAACTGAGACGCTATCGCTGTGGCGCGTGAATTAATCATCGCGAAAGCGGGATCCTGCGGTAAGTTCCCGTGTTCCAGCAAAGAAATAAGAACGAGTACAGTAAAACTTTTTTTTTTCCCCGCCAACAGATCGTTTGCTCATCACGCGCAGCACACTCGGCGTCAGCACAACCGCTCATGGACAACACCAAACGACCGCTCGAGGACAGTCATCAGGCTTTGCCCTTTGCCGGGAGGCTTGGGGGGAATCAGAGCTTTGCCGTATCGCAGGGACGTCAAGCCGATGCACGCCCGTTCGCCGGTCGAATTGGCGGTAACCAGGCCTTTACTGTCTCGCTGCAACTCAACCCGGAAGCGGATGCAATCGTAAAGGAAACACCCGATGCCGCTCCTTTACGATCGCTCAAGGACGCGATAGATTTGAAAGGCTTCCTCCAGCCGGTCATCTGGAAAGCCGCCGTCATAGAATGCTGGGGTAGGTTGTTATCGGATGCGTTTAGTTTGGGATATCCGTCCGGCTGAAAGAAAACTTGCAAGGGACATCGATGCTCGTATTCTCCGTCGGATTGATCGCCAATGCCCTCGGCCCGTACCATTCGGCGGACTCGCTGGGGGCCCCTTTGGTTGCCGCCCTTGGCAACTGGTTCGCCATCACGCTCTTCATCTTCGCGGCGGCACCGGCATCTGGAGGCCATCTCAACCCCTTCATCACAATGGCGACGTTGACAACAGGCCTTTCGACCCTCTCGCGTTCCGTGTTGTACATGGTCGGCCAGTGCATCGGAGCGCTGATCGGCGCTTTTCTTCTGAAGCTCGGCATCAGCGGCGCTGACTACTTCCCTTCCGTACGTCTTCTCCTCTGGGATACGCAGTGGCCATGTACTCACTCGTATGGATGACTGTCTCTTGTAGGGGATAGTTCCCGGCTGCAGCATAGACACGTCGCTCGTGAGCTACGGCCAGGCCTACGTCCTGGAATTCAGTTCATACCTCGTCTCTATATTCCTTTCCTTCGGCGTCGGTCTGGACCCCCGGCAAGGGGAAGTCTTTGGGCCGGCGCTGAGCCCGATACTGATTGGGCTGACGGTGGCGTTTGCGAGTTTCGCAACGGGATTCCTGAAAGAGGGCTGGAGCGGGGCGTGTAAGTATATATGTCTCCTGATGAGCACGGTCTCATACTACGGACCAAGATATTATTTTCTCGCGACTGGACAAGAGATACGCGGCTAATCGTGTGTGTCTACCTACCAGCGCTCAATCCAGCGAGGTGTTTTGGGCTCATGGCCGCAAAGGAAGACATGCATGCCCACTGGATTCATTGGTTGGCCGCTGCCACCGCTGCAACTTTCAACGGGATAATGTACCATATGATACCGCCGCATGGTCGAAAGGCAAAAGTTCAACATAGTAGTTGCTGACAGTACTGAAAACTGCCGTCCATCACGGTGATTTTTATTTTTATTTTTCGGGGGTGGTGTGATGCAGCGGAGAAGAAGGCGAGAGACGCCGCGTGGTGGAGGGGAGCGCAAGAGAATATGACGAATATCTCCAAAATCTGCGCCAAAGATGAAGTTGGAAAGGAGCATCCCCTTGGAGCTTGAAGTTTTATTTGTCACGCATCCTTACGCGCGGCTGTGGTGGCTGGCTCTGCGTAAGTGAAGGCTAGTGGAATCCGCAGCCGCAAGCGCCCTAAAATCATGTCGACGTCTCCACCTCCAGATTTTGGCGATCGACGTTCCGAGCTCCGACATAGGACTGATAAGCTACGTACGCTGACACTTGACAATCAAATTCTCGTTCTGCCAACCTTGGGTCGGGAATGTGCAGTCTTCGCGCTGCAAGCAAGGGGTGGTAAGAAGCAGCGGTACGTCCGTATTCTTGAAGCAATTTGTGAAATTCGAAGCCATGTCGAAACTCCAGGGGTTGCTAAAAGTGGCTTCGGGCGGCAAAGCCACGTCCTTTGCCCACGTAGCTCGCCTACACCATGGCCCGAGCACCGACGCGGCTGTGTCCGCACTAGGGCCCAATCAGCTCCATGGGCACAGCGCGTGTCTCCACGGCTCGAGCGTACGCAGCACAAGTCGTGGGAATGGACATGTGAACAGCAGTCTTTTCAGCTAGGTATAGCCCCGAGAGCTGGTTGGTTCTGATCAGCGTCGCGATGGACGGCCCTGGTCCCACACTCGAACCGTGCGGGGCGAAACGCCGTTGACAGCGCACAGCCTCAAGAGTCAAGCTTCAGCGGGGCACGACTGGCGGCGGTTAAGCCTCGGAAATGTGGGGCCCGTGGCGCCGGCCGGTAACGCCGTCCTCACGCCGATGCTTATAAGCTGCCCTGCTCGTGCCGCGCCTCTCTTCGAGCGCCTCTCTTCGAACGCCTCCCTTCACACATCGCTCATCATGGTGAAATGCACAGCAAGAGACATCGGGAAGATCAGGGAGGTGCCCCTCCCAGGGTTGCCCGTGAACTTCCACACCCTGGCCCAGTAAGTCAATATTGCTTATACACTTCCGTCTTATTAGCCCCGGTTCTGACAAAGTCGGCCAGAAACATATCCTTCATATTCAGCGCCGTCGCCATCATCACCAGTTTCTTCCTCATGTCGCGCCATGCCTCGCACTACACCAACCCGGATGAGCAAAAGCAGTGAGTCGACATTTGCAGCTGCTGATCAGCACCCACGCATCCGCTGAGCATGCCTCCAGAATCATTCGCATCCTCTTGATGGTGCCGATATATGCGTCCGTGTCCATGCTCTCCATCCACTACTACGAAAAGCACGTCTACTTTGAAGTCATGCGCGACTGCTACGAGGCCTTCGCCATCTCGAGCTTCTTCACCCTGCTGTGCAACTACATCACCCCCGACCTGCACCACCAAAAGGCCTTCTTCCGCACCATCACCCCCAACAACTGGGTGTGGCCCATCCCCTGGTTCCAAAAGTGCACCGGCGGCGAAAACAAAGGCTGGCTGCGCAAGCCCGCGAGCGGACTCACCTGGTTCAACGTAAGGCGCCCCGCACCGTCCACGCCACGCCTCCCCGTCGACGTCTCACCATCCCCACCCGAGGCACGCGCGCTGATCCCAATCTCACCCAGATCATCTACATCGCCGTCTTCCAATACTGCTTCATCCGCGTCTTCTTCACCCTCGTCTCCGTCGCGGCCGAGCACCACGACGTCCTCTGCGAGGACTCGCTCTCGCCCCGGTACGCCTACCTCTGGGTCCTCATCTTCGACTCGGCCGCCGTCACCCTCGCCATGTACTGCCTCATCCAGTTCTACACGCAGCTCCGCGGCGACCTCGCGCGGCACCGGCCCTTCCTCAAGCTGCTCGCCATCAAGCTCGTCATCTTCTTCTGCTTCTGGCAGAACGAGCTGCTGTCCGTGCTGTCCAGCGCCGACGTCATCGCCGAGTCGAAGTATCTCGCCTACGGCGACATCGAGGTCGCCCTGCCCAACATGCTCATCTGCGTCGAGATGGCCGCCTTCGCCGTCATGCACCTCTTCGCGTATCCCTGGAAGGAGTACGGCGTGCGCAAGGAGGACGGCGTCGAGGTCGTGCTACGCGTCGGCATGGTGCGCGCGCTGGCGCACGCGCTGAACCCGTGGGACGTGGTCAAGGCGTTTGCGAGGGGCTGCAGGTGGCTGTTTGTCGGCTCGAGGCAGCGGCGGGCGGATCCGTCGTATCGGCTCAAGGCCGAGGCCGCCGCGCCGTCGTCGTCGCTGGATTCGGACGAGGTGCCGATGCGGCCGAAGGGTGGTGATGGGGGGAGAGAGGAGGTTTGAGTGGGGAGAAAGCGTTTGTAGCGGTCGAAGCCGATGATGTTTTGTGATATTGCCTTCGGTCGTGCCTGCCGTTGTCTGCAATGTTTGCTCGGGTCCATCCAAGGGAAACATGGATCACTGGAGAGCACGGCCACGGCCTTTCCCAACCACGCCTCGCAGCTACCGAAACCGGTTGACACATTCACCACACTTCCCCACCAAACGTCATCCGGACGCCGAACCGACTGCCTCGCAACGCCATCCGTACCACCGGGATGAGAGAAATCAATTCCAGTTCCGCAACATCATCACACAGGCGAAAGTCCATCCCACAGACCTTGATCCGTGGCAGTACAGCGGAAAGCAACCATCAGCCCGTTAGGATCACGGCCCCTGCACCACAAAAGAAGGACGCTAGCCCTCGAACGTTCATCTTAGTTATCCGTACAACAGCTCGCAGGCAACGGCATTCCGTCTAAGGAATCAACTCGGGGAGCAAGTCTGGCGTCACGCTAGTGCTGGGGGATGCAGCTATGAAGGATGCTATGGAGCTATCGGATGCCGTTGCCATCAAGGCACTGCGAAGAGAGGGTGGGCCGGGGGGCGTCGTGGCCGAGGAGATGCGGGACTACGAAGAGGGGCATTGTCCAGGAGGCTAGCTTCACAAGGTTCATGAGGCCATGACGGAGAAGGATGCGATGAAGTCGATGTACTTCACCGAAGGCGCCCCGCGAACCGTCATGGACAAGTGGATCCTGAGGGCAGCGAGCGATGAGCTGAATGCGGTCGTCCTGTTTGTCCTGAGGCCGGCGGTCATTGTGTACTATTTCCTTTTTGGGTTAGTATATTGAAGGGATGGTCTGATACTTCCCTCTTGGATCATCTTCCATTTTATTTACCATTTCTTTACTACTTCGGTTCTTTCTTTTCCAGGTCGGCGTATCAAGCCAACATTTACCGCATCACGTCAGAGTACAATGATTAGATGTAGTGACTAAGCGAGAATATTGAAGACAGTCCATACAATGTACCATATCTTGAAAATAGCATGGATCACTAGTATCGTTCTGGCCGGAAAGCGTTACTTGCAGATGTGAAAACGACGAGCACGGCGGCATAACTTCAAGATGGTCAGTTTGCAAATCTGGGTACAGAATCAAATACGTACCTCGCTCCAGCTGTAAAGATTTCGACCGTCCTCGCATGTGTCAACATCGACAGAGCCGAAAGGAAGAATCCAGCCGCAAATATGATTGTGATCAGTCGAACGACCGGGCTGGAGACGCAAAAGAGCACGACGATTGGCATCAACAAGATGACGGTTGCCAGCCATGCGGTGAGGGCGCGGCTGAAGGTTTGGAGGCGGGGGCCAAGCACGAATATATGCTCATCTTGGGTCAAGCTCTGGCGGCCCGGCTTCATGGCATCCGGAAGGACCACTATCCTCTTCGTAGAGTGATGAGTCTCTGCGGTGGCTCAATGGGTGCGTTACAACGTACCTTGCATATGTGATGTGCTATCCAGACTGCGCAATCCTCAATTACAGTCTCAATGCGGGTAATTGCACTGTCGACCGTCCCGGTAAGGTTCAGCAGATCATCTTCGAGATCCAAGTAACGCGACTCTTTCCTCTGGATGCAGCCTGTGCCCTCGATCCAATTCTTCATGCTGACCACATCTCGTCTATCGGCCGCTGGCAGATGCAGTGCATGCTGATATTCCTTCATCATCGAGTCTGGACATAATTATGGGTTCTGTCGTATCCGTTACAAGGATGGGGCGGATCAGTGTTGCTCACCATATTCAGAAAGTGCGGCTTTCAGGCTGTGGAGGATGTTTTCTCTCTCCACATTACCGTCGCGGCGGACACAGCTAAGAAAAAGCTCCCGCTGCTCTTCAGCATCTATCCGATCAAGTTCCTCCTCCATTTTGGATATTTCGTCTTGCTTGATCAGGAGCAGCCTCATTCTTGACCGAGTGAAGCGGCGGAAGTTTTGAAAAGCGGGATGGATGGAGTGCAAAGCTGCGAACCTCGGATAGCCCAGACGAAAGCTGTCCACTTGATTCATGATGGGGGTACGGTGTTAGCTTGTGCCTTGAACGGAGTTTGCAGTACTCTTACAAGGGTATTTGGTGTGAGGTACGGAGTTCGCAGTCATGTTGCTTCGGGCTGGAGACGTGCAATAAAGAAACCATTTCCACAATTGCGCATCTGCTAGGGCTCTTCGAGCGGGAGTCTTTAGCCCAGTCTTTTGTATTGGGATCCAAGCCTTTTCCGAATTGAGGCTTGTCATGCGTCGGAACATTTTACTAAATATCGAGATAAAGTCGTCTAGAAGATAGTAGAGAACGTCCGTCGATTAAGAAGTATACTAATATAAGATTCGCCTTATTCTATTCTACGAGGGAAACAGTGTATTAATTATAATGACAATTATAAAAGCAGAAATTCCGCGTAGGCGAAGAAGTCTTTATTAAAAGCTAAGGGCTTCGCGGACCATTCACGGTCGCTCCCATTTAGAGTCTTAGACCAAAGCTTACAGCTGGGGAAAAGTGACTAAAGTCTAGGCGCTATGAATGGATATTTACACAATGGTAACAGAGCGTTTCGGAGTCTCCGTCAGCCACTGGCAATCACCATCTATATTGAACGCCCCAACCCGATAAAACAGTTCTCTTCCAGAATCATCACCCTCAGATGGTAGCACAAGAAGCCCTCCAGCGAATCGATCGCCCTCTGTAGATGTAAGAAAGAGATGAAGTTGATCTTGACGATTGCTTTCCTCAGGATCCTCCAAGTTCGGGACCCAATCCAACCAAAATCTCATGGTTCCATAGGGGCTCGAAGTTTTCCAGTAGTTGCTGTATGGCCACCTCTCCGGGATTCTGGGCGTGAAAATGCCACTGATTGGCCTGATCGGCGTCCGTCGACATTTTCCCCCGAGGGTAATTGACGATCCAAACTTGACTGCGACCATGGCATCAGAGTTAGCCGGCTGTAAATCGTAAGACACTACTTGGAATTCGGTGCCTGGTCTATCCCTAAGGCAACGGATAGCTGTGTTCCGAGACGCCCAACTCCAAGATGGGGCGCAATAATGTTCTTCGTCCTGCAGCCACTCCAGCATCTCATTGTATGACAATTTCGGTTCATCGCATACCCAGCGCAGCTGATACCCGAGACTTTTATCCAGCCATAGCCCCGCAAGATACTCTGTTGGCTCACCAAGCTCTTTCATGGAATCTTGCATGAATTTTGCTACGCCAGATATCGCACTCAACCTATCATGTGCGAACGTGAGCTCCCTTCTGGAGTATACGAAGACAGCTTCGAGCCAAAACCGGCTATAATCCGATCCCTTTTGCAGAACCATGGATAAGTCAGACGCTTCTAGGCCATACTCGAAGACAATCTTGTTATTGCATCGGAATTGGACAGCCTCTTCGCAAAAAACAAGCTGTCTTGTAGCCATGACTTGTTCTTGCCATACCCAGGCACGCCTTGACCATCGTGAAGATCGGAAGCAGGCACGTTCCGGCCGTTCCTCCCGTCCCTTGAGAAGGATTGAGTATTCTCCGGATATGTCTGGCACCAGGGATGAGCGGAAAGGTAGACTCAAAAGCCTGGAGGAAGGTCTCTGGAGAAAGTTTTGGAAACATGAATCGCTGACAGCCGCACAAATGGTAACGTACGAGTGAGCAAATATGTCGGTCATAGTCACCGACTCGGCCTCCCAGTCCTTTTTGCTCACTTGGTCCTGGATAATGCAAAGTGCATCGATCCAGAGATACCGAATTCCGAGCTCTCTGGCGAGTTTCACCGCATCCTGAAAAGTTGCCGGCATACCATCGACTGAGATGCCAATCTTGTGCTGCTCGAATGTTTGGTCTGTCGTTTTCAACGGCAACGAAGATCCCCAACAGTAACTCAAAGTCGCGTATTTGAGTTGAGAGCCGAGTAAGCATTCCGAGAGGATTTCTCTACGCTCTCTGAGCCTGACATCGGACCCTGCGGCGCTTCCGACATCCAATAAGCGCGTGGGAATGAAGTTCTCTTTCGAGAGCTTGTCCCTACATCCGAGATGCTCCCTGACGCATTCATCGATACAGCTCTTCATGAACTCGATGTTGTTTTTGGATGCCGGGCCGTCGATATCCAAAGGATTGTACATGATTTTAAGCCAGTCTCGGCAATTCCCTTCAAGCGCTTAGTGACTCGGCCTGTTAAAAGAAATGGAATGATTTACCTGGCTTGGCTCCTACCTCGAACTCGTAGACATCCACCTCGCCATATTGTTCTGGACGGAATACTATGACCGCCAAACAGTCAAGCATTTCGCGATAGTGCACTGTCATTTCCTCCCCTACTTTTTTGATCTCAATACGGAGCTCCTCCCATTCATATTGCATACTAAACCGAAGCCTCGAATCGGAAAGATTCCACCAGGACTTTTCGCCGTATTGCTCATAGAAAAGTTCCGTGAGTCTTGAACAGAATAGACAGTTCTGATCGGCAGAGCCTGCGAGCTCGGGTAATGTGGGTGGCGTAGCGGATCTTTCGTGATTGTTTCCTGCGCAAGTTCCACGTAAACGCCATTTTTCGAAAGGCCCAAAGCCATGATGCGTCCAGCCAAACTCATCTGTCTCACTCCGTTTTCTCACGCGGGAATGGCGGAGTCCTTTCTGGTCTTCCCGTGTCCACTGCTGTGGAGCGAAACCCGAGAGATCCAGAACAGGGGCCTCCTTGTCGGGTGCCTCTGTTACGGTACCGCCGGCAAGCTTATCATCGATGGTCAAAGCTTGCAAACATAGGTCGCAGAGGGCGTCACCTGTCGTGGCTGGATTGGGTGCGCTGTGTCGTGCTGTGGTTCCGAATTCATCGGGTTCGTCGGAAGCGGACGCCATACTGGAGAGCAGGATTGACTGGCACTGATGTTCGAAGGCCAGGCGGAGTGGGGAAGGGGCATGGCTTAAAAGCGCGGCAATCGCATGTGTATGAGTTGGCGAGAGCTGATGCACGGACATTGCCCTACTTCGGGATCTTGCTCCGAGCTGAGCATCCGGACCATATCTCGTGTCATATGCGGTAAGACAGTTTTTGGTCTTAGACAGCTATGCATGACCTCTGCTCCGAACTTCAATTGGTCGGTCGCTTTACAATTGCAAGCTGCTGGCGCGGGCGGGGTTGCACATACGTGTTGGGTGGGGATGATCCTGCATCCTGTGGGTCTTCAATGATTCACAACACCGGCCAATGGGTGATGCAGGTGGAGAGTCGGAGGAAAACAATGCTCCAATGCGGCCCGAGGCGTTTATAGCGTTAGGCGGAAATCCGCCTTGGCCGCCTCACTTAACGACTGGCAGGACACACACAGCCGCCATCTCTGAGCCTATGTCATGGATGACCGAAGAAACTGTCTGGACGATAGCCTTGCCTGCCCATGTAAGTCGAAGGCTGCTTCTGGCCGCCCTGCACACCAATTTTCGTGTATCAAGTTTCTTTTTTTCTTTCCAAGATGCAACGAGGAACATGGATCGTCGTTCATTCTCGCTCCCGACCCTTGTCCTCCCTAGGGGAAACCTGCAATTCATCTCACCTTCAAACAACCACACCCAAATAACAATGTGGATATCAATACCACTACAAGTACAACCGGTGTGAAAGTTGTGTCTCGGTAGGACATGATTTGACTCTTCTCCCCATGGTGTCGCGAGAGGAATATTCTCTTCTCAATTTGGAAATTAAGATTGGGGTAAAAATGCTGTCTATAATGCCGCTCGATAACGCAGAAGCAAAACCAAAAACCGAGACATGAAGCCAAACCCGCACTCCCCACCGACCGCTCCGACCGCAACCACACCTCATCAACGACTCACCACATCAGCTGCCCACACCACCTGCCAACTCGACCCCCTCCTGATCACTTGGCCGAGAACCTGCTCCTCGCCCTCAGCCTCTCGCCGAAAAAGTACAGCAGCCACACGCCCGCGCAGCACACCACCGTAAACGCCGCCAAGATGCTCACGCCCACGCCGACGCCCAGGTTCGCAAACAGCGGGCGCGAGAAGTGCACCGCGCCGGCGGCCAGCGTGCTGCGCAAGAAGTCGTTGCCGGCGAACAGGCTGGCCGCGTACTGCGGGTACACGAGCGGCAGGTACAAGAAGATGCACTGCAGCACCACGAAAATCCCGACGGTGAAAATCCCCACGCCCACGACGCTCACGATCCAGTGCACGCGCGGCTGCGCCGTCCACCCGAACACGAACAGCCCGGCGGGGCAGCAGGCGCAGGCGGCGAGCGCGGGGATGAGGCGGCGCTCGGGGGCGCCGAGGCCGCGGGCGCGGATGGACGGCTCGACGGCGAGGCGGACGTAGGCCCAGTAGCCGGCGATGGAGAGGATCACGCCGGCGGTGATGGAGAGGAAGGTGAGGCCCATCTGGCCGAGGTTCATGGCGTAGGTGCCCGTGTAGACTTGGGGAAAGGCTTCGAAGAAGGAGTAGAAGATGCCGTAGATGAGGGCGGTGTAGACGGCGGTGAAGGCGATGGCCGGGTCGAGGAGGATGAGCTGGATCGGACGCCAGAGGGACTCGGCAGCCATGGCGCGGAGGGTGAGGCTGGCTTGGTCGAGTTCGGATTGGGATTTGAAGGTGCGGGTGGCGGTGGCGGTGGTCGTGGTGGTGTTATTGTTGGTGAGGCGGCGCAGGCGGGCGGCGCGGCGGAGGAGGATGGTGGATGGGGATGTCTCTGGGAGGAAGAGGAAGAGGACGAGCCAGACGGGGCCGGCGAGCCAGAGCAGCTCCCATTGCGACCAGCGCCAGTTTTTGGCGGTGACGCTGAAGCCCGAGATGATGGGGCCGAGGGCGGGGCCGCAGGTTGCGGCGAGGGCCCACAGGCTGAGCACGTAGGGGAGCTTGATCAGGCTGTACATGTCTTGGAGCGAGGCGCCGCCGGTGGCGAGGCAGGGGCTGCCGAAGAAGCCGAGCAGGAAACGGAGCACGACGAGGCCGGCGAAGTTGTCGACCAGGGCGGTGGGCACGAGGAGGATGACGAAGACGGCGAAGGTGACCATGTACGGCGGGTTGCGGCCGATCAGGGGGATTTCACTGAGCGGCGACCAGATGAGCGGGCCGATGCCGTAGGCGAGGACGTACATGGAGAGACCGAGTGCGGCGGCGTTGATGGAGACGCCAAACTCGCGCATCACGCCCTCCTCGCTGGGGGCGTAGATGGCAGAGCCCATGTAGACGGCGAGGGTGTATGCGTAGATCTGGGTGGCGACGAAGGCCTTCTTGCCGAAAGACCAGTTCTGCGGGTTGTCCGGGTCGTCGGTCGTGTACCAGTCAACGAGAGTGGTGCCGTCATCCAGGTGTGTGGGAGCTATCTTGATGGTTGGGCCGCGCTCCAGAGTGGCATTGGTGAACTGTTGCTCGAGGTCCGCTCTGGTGATTGATCTTTGGAGGGCGGTGCGCGTGCCCACACGCTGGACAGAGTTGGCGGTTACCGGCCGGGATAGGCCAGTGTCGGCCGTCTCGGCCTTCTCCAAGTCGGTCGTGTAACCGGTTCGTGAGGTATCGGCGGTCCTGCTCTTCTCGAGGTCCACAGTCTGGTCCTCCGACTCCCTCTCTTCACGTGGCTCGACCTCTTCCTCGACCGGCTCTATGTCAGGAACATAGGGCTCTTCGATGGGAACTTCAGGCGGAAGGGTGTAGTCGCCGGGAAGCTTGTAGTCGGGCTTTTCTTCAGGGTACTGAAGGAGGCGGTTTCGTGTGACGAAGCGGATTATCTGCCCGATTGGGGCATCCCGGATCAGGTCCGACATGGCAGAGAGATGTCCAAGTCGAAGGCTGCGGAAGTCTGGTGGTGCGTTGCTGGAACCGAGCCGCCGTCAAGCCGGCATACTTAAAGCACTGCATCTGTCGAGTGTACCATTAGAGTTCGACGATGGATCCCACATTGTCAGCTTGCATTTCGAATCCAATGTCGCAAGCAGACGCGAGCGGACAGAGCGATGGGCCGAATCCAAAACGCCGAGTGGCATGCACGATTAGAAAAGAACTTGCTGGGGCCAGCCACCACGGCCACCGAGCCGGACGCTGATTGGCTCATTCCAGGGAGATGGTTGAAGTAGTCGGACAAAAGACGGCATGTGAGCGGGCTTAGAAAGCGGGCGGGCTTGGCGCATCGCTGACAAACAAGCCAGCTCTGTAAGCCAATGCCGACCCCTCATTGGCCCAGATGGGGGTTCCGCTCTCGCAACGTCAGCGGCGCCGTGGCTTTCGCAAAGAGAGGTCGCCATGATGACTGCGAGGTACAGCGAAATGCAAGCCCGAGCAGCTTACTTCTGTCAGCCTCGGCGACAGTTCAAAAACATTAGTAGACAGTCATCAATATATGACTAAAGTCTCCTTTTAATGCGCAATGGAAATGTTCAGGCGAGCAAAGACACTGGAACTAAAAAGAAAGGAAAGACGAACTGAACCATTGGAAGACGGCTGAGTGGAGAAAGCACCACGGAGCGGAAGACGATACTGCCGAATCGAGGTAGAGGTGACGAAGTGCGGGAGGTCGGAGATAAGTAAACCATCTACTTAACAGCTATCCGCTTTGTGGCGTTCTTCGCGCACCAATGGACGCACTCGGGGTATAGTCAGCCCGACCATAACAGCCGCAGAGCAGATGTTCATTCACAATTTCAAGTCCTCACATCGGATACCTGGCCAAAGCTGTGAGTTTGGGGAGGAGAAGTCATTTCACGTACACATCCCAACACTGGGGCACAAAAATCTCCCAGGGAACACTCACCATCGAATCGCAGAACGTCCATTCGTTCAAACCGATCGAACCTGCCACCCCTCTCCCCATCCATCCATCCTCTAGCTCCTCACTCACCTCCCTCCCTCTTCCCCCGCCTCCTTCCCAAAGCGCGGTGTGGGGAGTAGCGGCGGTACTGTTGGAAGCGGAGTCGACGACGGTGCCACTGGCGCTGGAATCGTCCTCCTCCTCCTCCTCCGTAGTAGCACACTCTCTGAAGTGCACGGCCAGGTGCGTCTGCTCGGAGGTGCGCCAGTGCAGCGGATGGCAGAAACCCAGCCTTGATCCAAAATTATTCCAAAAGTCAGGAATCTTGTTCTTCTTCCATTAAAATCTCAATACCCAGGAACACTGCACGGTGTACCGCACCACGGAACGCGCCCTCAAATGCTTTACGCGCTACTCGGCCGTGCTTGTCTTTCTTCAAAGCAAGATCGTAGGACGTCCTGGGTAGCCCCATGCCGGAAAAGCGTGTCTTGATGGGTAGAAGGGGAGAGATGGTTCCACCGCCCCACGCGGTATTATTCATCCCGCGAATCAGATATGGCTGAATAACATGCTTCAGCGCTTCGTTGTTTGTCCTGTGTTAGTTAAGCACTTCGTCCGTGTCTCCGCTTTTGTCGGCTTGACCGTCAGCCTGGGGGTGATATGCCGTTGTGAGATGTTGCTTGACGCCGAACTTCTCGCACACCTGTCTCCAGACATGTGAAGTAAATCTCGGATCGCGATCCGTAATTTAAGAACTCGGGAGATCCTATCCGTATAAAATGATCTTCTTCACGTAGGCATCGGCCCATTCCTTAGCGGACCAACTCTCCTTGCCCTTGATAAGGAGGATTTCCTTGGTGACCTTACAGGTAATCGTCAGGAGCATATCGAACCCTTTGGCTGTAGGTGGCAGCTTGGAGATAAAGTCCAAGCATTGGACCTCACGTGAGCCGGCCGAAGTTTGGATTGGGTTCAATTCACCATAGGGGCGATGCCTCTTGGTCGTACAAAGTTGGCACTGGGGGCAGTGCTTAAGGTATTCGCGGAGCTTTCTGCTCATGCCATGAATCAGAATGGACTGTCTGATCCGAAGGTATGCACGCCAGAAGCCGGCGTGATGTTGGGTGTCATGGGCCATGGTGAACACTTCTTGTTCAACGGCCTTTGGGACACAGAGTCTGTGTCGGCCGTCCTCGGGATCCACGAAGTAGATCAGCCCGTTTCGCAGAAAAAATCTTATCTCCCATACGGCTTCGGGTATCTCGTCCCCTTCGGCGGGCGGATCGGCGTCTGCGCATAGGGCGGCGGTGATTTGCCGGGTTGGCGAATTTGGCCTGGAGAATAAAGTTTCCGACGTCCATGGTTGGATCGTCATGCTCGCGCAGTGACACCATGGCCACGGCCGTCGCAGAGGATAGATGTCGGAGGTGAGTAGATGAGGAAGTTCAGACGGTGGGGCGGCGCGAGGTGGTGGAGGGGAGTAGGCCTGTTGCGGGCGGAAGATTGGAAGATGTTGAGAAGGTGACGGAGAATCGGGAAGGAAAGATTGTGTTTGAACAAAGAAAGATGCGGTACCGTCAGAGATGCGCTAGCAGTGGCATCCCTGGGCAAATCCGGCAAGCGTTACGTCATCGGACCCTTGCCCTCCCTCGAAACACCATCGCCAGTCCCGAGCTCATTTGTCAGCCGGTGCCTTTTCAGTCTACAACCGCTCAAGCCCATTGACCTTCCGGATAAAGTACCTCAGCGTCAATTTGATTTATAATGCCCGGCCTCACCCCACCATAAATACCGTCGTACCGACCCCACCGCAACAGCACTCAACGGCCTCACCCCCCAAACCCCAACAACATGTCGACCACCCAGCGCGCCATCCAAATCCAGGCCCCCAAGGTCGCCAAACTCGTCACCAACGCCCCCATCCCGCGCCAGCGCCCCGACCACATCGCCGTCGCCGTCTCGCACGTCGCCCTCAACCCCACCGACTGGAAGTCCATCGACACGCGCGGCGAGCCGGGCCTCATCTCGGGCTGCGACTACAGCGGCGTCGTCGAGGCCGTCGGCGCCAACGTCGCGTCTGAAGGAAGATTCCGCGTCGGCGACCGCGTCGCCGGCGTCGCCCACGGCGCCAACGCCAGCAACAGCGAGGACGGCGCCTTCGCCGAGCACATCATGGCGCGCGCCGCGCTCGCCACCAAAGTCCCGCCGACCCTGTCCATGGCCGAGGCCGCGACGCTGGGCGTCGGCGTGACCACCGTCGCGCAGGGGCTGTATCAGAGCTTGGGGCTGCCGTGGCCCGGCGCGACGGAGCAGAATGGCGGCGATCAGGCGGCGGCGGCGGGCATCCCCGTGCTGATTTACGGCGGCAGCACGGCGACGGGGACGCTGGCGATCCAGTTTGCGAAGCTGAGCGGCTGCACGGTGCTGACGACGTGCTCGCCGCGCAACTTCGAGCTCGTGCGGCGGCTGGGCGCCGACCACGTCTTCGACTACAACGCGCCCGGCGTCGGGGCCGCGATCCGGAAGGCGGCCGGCGAAGATGGACTGGCGCACGTGTTCGATTGCGTGTCGCAGCCTGCGAGCGCGGCCATCTGTGCCGACGCGTTCGGGGCCGCGGGCGGCAAGTACAGCGCGCTGCTGTATCTCGACGGCGAGTTCCCGCGCGAGGACGTGGAGGTGGAGACGACGATGGCGTATACGGCCATGGGGGAGGAGTTCAGGAAGGGGACGAAGACGACGCCGGCGAGGCCGCAGGATTTGGAGTTTGCGACTAGGTTCTGGAAGGTGGCGGGTGAGCTGCTGGAGCAGGGGAAGGTCAAGCCGCATCCGCCGCAGGTGCGCGAGGGTGGGCTCGGTGGGATTTTGGACGGGTTGGAGGATATGAGGCAGGGCAAGGTCAGTGGTGTCAAGCTGGTGTATAAGGTCCAGGACGTTTAGGGGATTTGAGTTCGAAGTGTCAAATGAAGTACGAAGCTTTGAACATGGAGGAGTTTGTGGGACATGGGCTCTTCTCTCTAACTGTAAAGAATGATCAAACCAGGTCCACGGACTTCCAGCCATCTTTCTAGAGCTCCTGGTTAGGGGCGCTGAATTGTTGCTTGAGATGCGTACAGCGGCAAACCAACCTCGGAAAAGCAACGTACTACGGCCGCGATGGTTGTCCATCAGCATCCACTCACACACATGGCTTGTAGAGCAGCTGCGGTTATACTAACGGAGTTGGTTCTAGATGGATGTTCGGTTCAAACCGCATCGTGAAAAAAGGAAAAAGGAAACTTGAGGGGCTATTCTGGAACAGTGCATCAAATCACATGGACCTCTAGCTTCTAAAATCTCATAACACGTTTGTTGAGCGACAACGAAAAAGCAGCAAAACCTATACAGTCTAATTGAGCTGTAACACACTCGCCCTCTACTACATTATTCATGAACTTCCTATGGATTGATGCGTTGTTGGAGAATGAGGAAGACACACTTCCAATATTTAACCACGAGTAGATGCCTGCCCTCGCCGCTCACCACACACGCCCCGTTGGATCTGAATTAGAACTTGGCATTCCGGTTCTTCTTGAGATCTTACACTTACAGAAGTATGACGAACAACCACGACAACATGGACCTTGACGACACCAACGACGACGAGCGTCGCGGGTTAATCCAGATCGCACTCGGCATATGCTCCGACTATCAGCCCAGGCTCTTCGCCCAGGGACCTGCGTACGTGCCGTTGACCAACGAGCCACTCAGCTACGAGCAGATGTACCTCGACAGCTCCTCTCTGGGACCCGTCTACAACTCTGCGGGTGATCCCATCTACCCGACCATCGCCGAATCGTACTTCGATCAGCCACCCGGTGAGTGGGCCTCTAATGACCCGATCATGTGCGACGAGTCGACTTACGACCCGACCAACCAGTCGATCGACTACGAGGGTGGCGGTTGCGCGCCGCTGTTCTACCCTCCTGTCAATCCGGCCGCTGTTCCGACCTCCAAGCCGACCGAGCAGCAACCCCCCTTCGACTTCGACCTCTACCTCTCCTTCGCGCCCCTCTCCCCCCCATCCCTATCCCCAACCGACTCCACCGACTCCAGCACCCTCAGCAATGACAGCGATGACAGCGACAGCACCATCAGTGCCGACAGCACCATCAGTGCCGACAGCACCATCAGCGCCGACAGCGACAGCGACGGCACCATCAGCGTCGACGACAGCCCCCGCTCCCCCTGCCCGCACAGCCGCCCCGGCTATGACGTTGATGACCGTCACTGCAAGGCGTGCCGCCTCCACCGCGCGACCTTGGCCGCCAAGCGCGTCTGGGACCTGTCCGTCGCGGCAGCGGCGGCGAAGACGACGACGACGAGAAAGAACGCGGTCGGCATGATCAGGGGCGCGCGGGCGGCGTATTTTCGCGCGAGGGCGGCGGAGCAGAATGTTGTGGATGGGATGATCATGGCTGGGGAGAGGGATGATGATGGTCATGATGATGATGGTGATGATGAGGCTGGGGGACCGAGCGTTGCCTTTGCGGAGGGTGTGGAGGATGATACGCGCGGCGGTAGGGCGCTGGGGGAGTTTGGGCCGAGGAGTCGGGGTGGTGGCGGGTGTTACGTCCCGGGGAGGTGGGCTGGGGAGTGGTTGGACACGTCGGGGATGGGGGTGTCGTATGATGATTTTTATGCGGGGGATCAGGGGGAGGTGGAGGTGGAGATGGGGGAGCGGCAGCTCGATGATGTTGGAGAGATTGATGGCGCTGGGCGGAGAAACAGCCTGGAGGTTTGGAGGCGGAGGGAGTCTGGGCCGGGGTCTTCTCGTGATGATGGTGATGGCGGAGAGGAGTCCGGTGGTTGGAAGAAGAGGACGAGGAGTGGTCGTTGTTTTTGAGGGAAAGCCGCGGTTGTTGGTGAGGGCGTGTTCTCCCTCTGTGCGAGGTGACTGGCGGCAATCTTCAATAGGGAACGCGTGGTTGAGGAGGTGAGATGGCTTGGTGGGTGTCAAACAAAAGCAGTTTGACACGGTCATCTAGAACCGGCATTTGTCTTTAGTAGACTATTTCATCTCGTCATAGACAATGGAGAGAAAATGGGGACGAAAACTTGTCACTGTGCTTTTGTGATATGAAGAGCTATGAATCGGTGCTAGAAAGTAACTTTCTTCTTTTCAAGTCTCCGAATGAGCATTTCACCAAGCCTGCTGTGCACTTCATTGTATCGACAGCCCTGGAAGAGACCGTACTACCATGGCGCACTGTTCTACGCAAACAAAGGAAAATCAAATACAGTAACATATCATCCCAACAAACAAAAGCTCCCCCATCTATCGCAATCCAAGTGACATTTCCAACTCATACACTCATCCCCAGTCATCAATTATATAAAGACGCCTCAGCACCCACCTCCGCCGCCGCCGTCTCCACCTCCACCTCCACCACCCCCTCCACCCGAGTCACCGCCCCCTCCGCCACTATAACCCCCGCCTCCACCTCCGCCGCTACTATACCCACCCCCCGAACTGCCATGCCCACCACCGCCATGCCCACCACCGCCGTGTCCACCACCGCCACCACCATCACACCCCCCATGATGCCCCCCACCACTTCCTCCGCCCGTCGTCGTATCACCAGCCATCACACCCGCCATCACACCCGCCGTACTATTCGGGTTGAGCGTACTGTTAATTGCGCCGGGCGCCGGAGGGTTGCTGCGCAGCGGGGCCGAGATGGTCGATGGGGAAGAAGAGGCACCGCTACCCCGGCCGGCGCTGCGGGGCGCCATGCTATGTTGGTTGATTTCTTTTTCGGCGAGGCGGGGTGCAGGTGGGGATGAGTCCATGTATTTGGGGCGGGCCGAGGGGCGGGAGATACGGCAGCCCATCTTTTCTTTTTTTTTTGTTGTTGTTCTTTTTTTGGTGGTTCTGTTGGTTGGGTTCGCTTTGTGGGCGGTGGGAGGAGAGGGAGGGGGAGGAGGAGGTCGAATGGGGGTTGGAGGTGTTGGCGCTGTGTTGATGGAGATATTGTCTGTTTGGATGAAGGGGGAGTGGTTGGTGGGGATAGCGGTGGCAGTGTGGAGGACGAAGAGTGAGATATATACTTTTCGGGAGATGGTCGTTTGATAGGCTCGGCCTGGCCGGCAGCAGCAAGCGGTGGATGGTGTCACGCCCCCCAGCACCGGCTCAGCCTCATCAGCCAGCCTCGCGCCACCAAAAGCCGTCAACGATTGCCTAAAACGTCTAGCGCTGGGATTTAGAGGCCGAGCGAGCTGCCTCGCCAAAGTTAGCATCTTTGAGCAAGAGCCAATAGCTTTGTATCACTTCTTCACCGCACCCTTTAGACGTCTCAGGCCATTCCTCTGACTTTGCCTCACGCCTCACGAGAAGATTCCAAAGAGGATATAATCGCGCAGCGAGATGACTAAATCGTCGTACTTTCCGCAGCGATCCCGAGCCGAGGCACTAACGGGTACGTACAGAGAGACCTTTCTTCCAAATGCCATCACAACCTTGTTTCTTTGTGGCTTCGCTCATACGATACTCCTTCTTTCGGCACTTGGCCCCCGTTGCTGCCTAGCAGTCACGAATGATGCAAAAGACGAGCAAAACGTGGCTATGCTAGCTCGGGATCAGCCGCTCCAGGCTTAGCGCTAGTACCCGAAACAGGAGCAGCACGCGGAGGCTGTGTGGGGTCCTGGGGGCGGAAAGGGTCTAAGCACGTGGAGCTGCTCCGGGGATGGCGTCACGGCCGATGATCTACCTACGTCGTGGTCTTTCTTCGCTGGCAGGGCAGATTTTTCGAGGTAGGCGGTCGTCGGTCTGCCTGATTGGGCCAGGTGGTTTTCGTTTGGGGGAAAGGGCTATGCTTGTTTGAGACTGGCTTTGTCAATGACCACGTGTGAGCCTAGTCTCGGCAGTGCGTAGTCGGAGTAGCGCGGCATTCTACGTCGTTGTTGGCTGCAAGGGCAGATTCGGCACAAAGTGAGGCTGTCTGCCTCCGGTGAATTATTCGGGTACATCTTCAACAGCACCACGGCCATCTAGAAAGTCTGTCCACGCTCTGTTCTTATTGGTCTATTCGTCTATTCGTAACTCGTGTAGGGGCTTCTCCGCCGGTCCGAACTGGGAATCTTCCACGAGCACTGCTTACAGCTCTCCAGTCAAGAACTGCGCCCTTCCCAGCCCGAAGCTCCAGTCCTCCCTCGTGTTGGCGGCGACGCTGACGATCAGATCGGCGCCGGGGACGCCGCACTCCTTCTCCAGACGCTCGGACAAAGCGGCGTAGACGGCTTGCTTCTTGGCGGCGTCGCGGCCCTGCTGGAAGATTTGGATGAAGACGAGCTTGTCGGAGCGGGTGAGGCCGAGGTTGGTGTCCTCGCAGATGATCTCGTAGGGCTCGTGCTGGGTGATGATCTGCGTCCATGCTCAGCGTGGGGTTCTCAAGGCATGACGGGAGAAGTGGGAGTTACCTGGTAACGGTCGCGCGGGGGAGCGGCGAACTTGTCCAGCATGATCTCCTGGACGATGTCCGCTAGCTTCTTGATCTCCTCGGGCGAGCGGACGCCCTTGATCATGTCGATTTTGACGAGAGGCATGGCGGCAGCTTGCTGGGACTGGAACTGAGCGGGATAGAAGCAAGAGGGGATCAAAGGGAGCGCGAGGTGGGACAGGTAGGAGTAGGCGTGAGGGAAGAGGGACGATTGGGGGAGCAACGGCCCTTATAGCAGTCCGCTGGACCGTAGCGTCGGCGGTGAGCTCGTGGGCCGACTAGGTATCGTGATGGAACAGGTTACTAAGCCAAGTGTGTAAGGCGATAAGTCTGGCGGCGATGCCAGACATAAATATGAAGCACGAGAAACACTGGAGCTCTCCATCTTTTCCTCTACATCCCCACACTCCGGTGCGCGCGCGTGGTCGTGTCCGATAAGGGCCCGGGCACAACGCCAGGTACTACCTACCTACCTACCCATTTCGACTCACCCGGAGAAGGGTCCCTCGGTAGCCGCGGAGAAGGCCCATCCGGGCGTGGACAGAGAACAGTGATGGAGGCAGCTGCGAGGCGTCATCGGCGGGGCCCGGTGTGCCGCAATCGCAGCAGCGTGGCAGCTCTCGCCGACGGCCAGCCGGGATGCCATGACTCGGTAGCGCGGCGCTGAGTAATCCAGAGGCCGGCGTGCACGCGCCCAGCCACGTTTGGTCTGTTTGCGCGGCGTTGGCGTGGAAAAAGCTCTAGCTACGGATTACACAAGCTCCCCTCGCGTCCCGGCCGCCGCTGCTCAACACCACCTGCGCGTTTTCGTGACCACCGAAACCCTCGCTTCCCGCCCGGCCTCATCGCACCCTCGTCCCCCAACCACCCACTTTCGCCGCCCGTCGTCGCGCCAATTCCTCCCCTTCCCGCCCAATCCGCCTTTTCGCAACCGACAATGAACGCCTTCCGCGCCGCCGCCTCTTCGTCCCGCGCCGCCTTCGCCGGCCGCCGCGCCTTCAGCAGCACGCCGCGCTCGCCGCTCGCCAAGATGACCATCATCGGCCGCCTGGGCGCCGAGCCCGAGCTGCGCACCGCGAGCACCGGCCGCGAGTACATCCGCTACGTCCTGGGCACCAGCACCGGTCCGCGCGACCGCAACGAGACCAGCTGGTTCCGCGTCTCCTGCTTCGACGACGGTCCCCGCAAGGACTACGTGCTGAACCTGCCCAAGGGGTGAGTTTTCCCGTCCCGTCCTCGTGTCTGTGTGCGTGTTTTCTTGGGGATGCGCGCGAGCGCCCGCGACATTGGGGGAGAAGAAGACCCCAGCGCGAGCCCGCAATCGCGACTTCGTGCGGCGCGTGGGAAATTGCTCGTTTGGGGTGGGCTGACTTAGATTTTTCTGTGTGCAGCACCCTCATGCACCTCGAGGCCGATGCGAAGATGGACACTTTCGAGACCAACGAGGGCGTGAAGACTACGCGCCTGAACCTCGTCCAGAGTACGTGATTTCCCGCAACCCATTGGCGCCACCCCCCGTACGTCACTGACGCGCTTTCTTCCAACCTCACAGGGAACATCGAGATCCTTAGCAAACCTCAGCGCCCGAGCGAGGAGGGCCCCATGGGCGCTGCCTCTCCCGCCGACTCGGCTTAAATTCTTTGCGCCGCCCCACCCCGATTCCTGACCAGCTTTCTTTCTTGCCGTTGAACATTTCTCAAACGGTGGAAAGAGCCTGCTCTTTTTTTTCTCTTTACTTCTCGACCAAATATGCTTTCAAGGCGAATAGGAGGCAGGAGGAAACGAAGGCGCAAGCTATCATGTGTGCAAGAAGCCATGTTTTGTTTCTTGGTCGTCAATTTAAAGGAACACCCTCGATTTTGAACGGAGGGGAGGCTTTGAACTTTTTTTTCCTTCTCTTTTTTGTACCATGATTCCCCGTGCGAATACAGAATCTCTCCTCACCCCAGTCGACCGAATCTTCCCTTGCGTGCGCGCCCATTCCCCCCCTCGAAAATATAACGGGTATATCTCACAACAGCCGACAACCTATTTTCATTCCCCACTCTTTCCCCCTCTCCTCCACACCCTCATCCGCATCCCCCACACATCTCTCCCTCCCTCCCTCTCTCTCTTTCCCCCTCCCTCTTACGCCTGCGAAAGCGAAAACTTGACGTCCCCGCTCGTCGCGCCGCCGACGCAGGTGCTCTCGAACTCGCCCTGCGGACACGTCTGCTGCGCCGCCTTGACGCAGCGCTCCCAGCGGCCCTTGGACACGTTGATGCGCGCGCCCGCGTCCGCATCCGTCGCGGCCAGGTCGAAGCGCGCGGTGCCGCTCTCGCCCGTCGTGCTGCTGGGCGCGCCGCCGCACTTTTGGATGGAGCCGGCGATGCCGCCGCAGATGGAGAGGATGGCGACGTTGGTGTCGTGGGTGTCGATGGCGCTGGTTTTGGGGTCTGGTTGTTAGTTTGGGGGTGGTTTTTTTCTTTTTCGTTCGTTTTTTCTTTTTTTTTGGGGGGGAGGGACGGGGGAGGGACGGGGGAGGGAGGTGCGGTTTGACGTACGCTGAGGGGTTGGTGCACGTCGTGTCGGTCACTTCGTCGCCCGAGACTTGCTGGTCGGCGCGCGGGAGGAGCGGCGTGGCGAGGGCGGTGGCGGCCATGAGGGTGGTGAAGAGGAGGTGGGTGAATTGCATGATGGACGGATGGGTGGGTTGGTTCTTCTTTCTTGTTGGTTTGAATTGGGGTCTTTGGCTGGTCTTCTTGGGATGTTACTAGTCCGATTGGATGTGATGCTCGGAAGGGTTTGGAAAGGTGAGTTTGATGTGAATTACTCAAGCAGCCGGACGTCAAGCTTCTCTTATGAACTGGACGAAGTCTGGGCGGTTGATTTACCCGCATGCTTAGCACTCGTTCTGGCTTGCACGCGAGGGTTAGCGACCGCATGAGTGTGCTCCACTGGGAATGTGTTCTATGGTTTGGAACACTTAAGAAACCGTGTCGGCTATCGGCGCAGCGTAATGATTTTGACCTGACCGGCAATGCGAGCAGCGCCAAGACGTCAGAGAGCAGGGCGAGAATTCAAAGGATGCTATCCTGCAGTTTGAAGGAAAGCCGTGGTGTTTTGGTTCTTGAGGTGCTGAGGCAGGCCGGGTTTGAGTAGGGGTGAGTGCGAGACGTCGTAGTAGGCGTGGTCGAGCCATGCGACGTGCTGTGTCTCGGCACCACCACAGCGACAGCTGCAACGGGAAAGATTGTAAGTGTGAGGCTTTTGCATTTATCGGTTCGCTTGCCCATAAGCGTCTCTGGCTGGTGTCTCAATATCTGCGAATCCCGCGCTTGCACATGGGAGGTCCAGCACGTCGACTTCGTGCCGATAATTTCCTGCTCTTTTCTTAGAAATACCCAACCATAAATGCGCTGCTATATTTATCACCGTGCGCGTCAGTTGGCTGCCACGACAAAGAACATGACGGTCAAAGGAGCTGGTCTGTCCGGCAAGCCACTGCTGCAGCATGTCAGATCCATATCAGTCATCCTATTCGCAGACGACGTACGAGGCATACAGCGTCAGTCTCGATCACAATTCACTCTCACACTCACACATGGCGACAAGGCCAGCTGAGAAGCACGGCATTCACGTGCCGTCACTCGAGCATTTCGGCCAATGAGTGTAGTCGTGGTTGTCAACAGCGGAACGAGGGGAGGGCGTGAAAAGAGCAGGGGTGGATCAGCGTTTCGCCGATTGGCTGGCGGCAAGCTGGCCGTTCCCAGCCCTCTTCGCCACAGTGACGGCAGGCTGGAAAAAAGAGCCCAAGCCCACCCACCGCTGTCGCTCTCCTTTGCCCTGCACCTCCACTTCTCTCTCTGCATCTGCATCTGCATCTCCCGGCCGCGCACCCTGTTTCACGGCCCGTTTCCTTCGACCTCATCTCCAAAAGTTGTTGCTTTTGCGCCGCGAGCTCGCCGCCGTCGACGCCCAGCCCTACGCCGGTCCTTTATCGCCCTCGATAGCGCCGCCCGCCCCGGTGCCCCGCTACTGACGTCTGCCCCCGACCACGAAAAATCTTACGCTGATACCCAACCCTCGACCGTCAACACCTTCTTTTCCACCCCACACAGCCAAAATGGTGTCTGCTTCCAAGGCTGCCCGTGACGCCAAGCGCGTTGCTGATGGCAAGGCCCCCAAGAAGTCGCTCAAGGAGCGCAAGGCCGAGAAGGAAGCTGCCAAGTCCGGCGCCCCCTCCGAGAACGTGTCGGGCGACGAGGGCGTCGACGAGACCCAGAAGAAGATTGAGCATCTCAGCCTGCAGAAGGACGACGAAGGCATCTCCGATCGTGTCACCACCGGTGTGCTCGCTTCGCTCGAGGCCAGCCGCGACGTCAAGATCACCTCTGCGTCGCTGGTCTTCCACGGCAAGGTGCTCTTCAACGACACCACCATCGAGGTCAACTACGGCCGTCGCTATGGTCTGCTTGGTGAGAACGGCTGCGGAAAGTCCACCCTGCTGAGGTCCATCGCTGCCCGCGAGTACCCCTTCCCCGACCACATCGACATCTACCTGCTCAACGAGGGTGCTCCCAAGACCGACACCGGTGCTCTCGACTGGGTCGTCGGCGAGGCTCAGGCCGCCCTGGCCCGCATGGAGAAGCAGGCCGAGGAGATCCTCGAGGAGAAGGGTCCCGACGACCCCCTTCTTGAGGAGCTGTACGAGGTGAGCATCTGCAAAACTCCGAGACCCCGAGCATGTCTGCTGACAGCTGCATCTAGCGTATGGATGATATGGACCCGAGCACCTTCTCGACCCGCGCTTCCCTGATTTTGACTGGTCTCGGCTTCAACAAGCACACCATCCACAAGAAGACCAAGGACATGTCTGGTGGCTGGAGAATGCGTGTCGCTCTGGGCAAGGCCCTCTTCGTCAAGCCCTCGCTGCTGTTGCTCGACGACCCTACTGCCCATTTGGATCTCGAGGCCTGCGTGTGGCTGGAGGAGTACCTCAAGAAGTGGGACCGTACGCTTATCCTCGTCTCTCACTCCATGGATTTCTTGAACGGTGTCTGCACCAACATGATCGACATGCGCATGAAGACTCTCCAGTACTACGGTGGTAACTACGATTCGTACATCAAGACCAGGACCGAGAACGAGACCAACCAGCAGAAGGCCTATGAGAAGCAGCAGGAGGAAATCAAGCACATCAAGAAGTTCATTGCTTCCGCTGGTACCTATGCCAACTTGGTCAGGCAGGCCAAGTCCAGGCAGAAGATCCTCGACAAGATGGAGGCCGACGGTTTCATTCAGCCCGTCGTTGAGGACCGTGTCTTCACCTTCCGCTTCGCCGATGTTGAGAAGCTTCCTCCGCCCGTCCTTTCGCTCGACGACGTCACCTTCTCCTACTCCGGCAACGCTGAGGACAACCTTTACGAGAACCTCGACTTCGGTGTGGACATGGACTCGCGTACTGCTTTGGTCGGTCCTAACGGTGTCGGCAAGTCTACTCTGCTCCGCATCTTCACCGGCGCGCTGTCTCCTACCAGCGGTTCCGTGTCCCGTCACACTCACTTGAAGCTCGGCATGTACAGCCAGCACTCGGCTGAGCAGCTCGTACTCACCAAGTCCGCCCTCGACTTCGTCCGTGACAAGTTCAGCCACGTCTCCCAGGACTACCAGTACTGGAGACAGCAGCTGGGCCGCTACGGTCTGACCGGTGAGGCCCAGACTGCCCTCATGGGCACTCTTTCTGAGGGTCAGAAGAGCAGAATCGTCTTCGCTCTGCTTGCCATCGAGGGTCCCAACATGCTTCTGCTGGACGAGCCTACCAACGGTCTCGATATCCCCACCATCGACAGTTTGGCAGATGCTATCAACGCCTTCAGCGGTGGTGTCGTCGTCGTTTCTCACGATTTCAGGTAAGCGAGAATCAGAAGCCGCACATGTGAACAAGTTGCTAACGTACTGTGCAGGCTGCTCGACAAGATTGCCAAGGACATCATGGTCTGCGAGAACAAGACTGTCCACAAGTGGAACGGATCCATTGGCGAGTACAAGAACCACCTCAGGAAGAAGATGGTTTCGGCTGGTGCCGTCTAAGCAGATTTCTTTTCGCTGCCTTCAAACCACTCAAGGGAAGCAGGATGTGAAACAGGAGTCGTGGAAGCCCTTTCGGGTTTTTTGATGATGATAATGCAAAAAAGCCCGCCTGTGGCTACGAAAGCATGAAGAGAGTCGGCAAGCAACGAGGCGTTGCTGGCGATGTTTAAATCGGACATCCGCGCGGTTTCTGGGTTAAATGAGGTATGGTGCCGCCCGGGAGCCGGCTTTCTTTGAATAGCTTTTATATCCACAGCAAAAAGAGCAGGCCGAGGATCGGCCTGCCGGGATCAAGTTTTATTTCTTGCAAAGGGGGGAATCTTGTTTGGGATAGACCACCGGAGTTACTTCAAACTATTAGATTGCATGATACTTACATATTTTTTCCCCAAGTCGACAATTCGACGAGGAGGTTCCACGTATGGACGTGACAGCCAGCATCCACCGTGATTTCAGCTTCCATCTTTCTCCAAATTCCTTCGGCCCGTTCGAACTCCCGCCTGACCATCCGCTGCCCGGCTTAGGTCTCTCTTCGCCATCGTCAAGTTCCTGACACGCCCCCAGCCCCGGAAACGGTCCTTCTCTAAACGGTCCTATCTTTTCCAGTCGCCTCATTCACATCAGCGCGTCTTGACAGCGAAGCATGCATGGGGACCGCCTGCCTGCCCGCCTGACTGGCCTTTCTGCGCACGGAACGACGAAGAGGAGGGTAGGCAAGACACCAAGGAAGCGCAAAAGTCTTTTCTTTTTTTCTTTCAAAAAAAAAAAGACACGCGGACTGACAAATAATCCTCATCTTTCATCATCACACGGACACGCGCGCGCGTGGGGGCGGCCCAGCGCGACGCTCTAGTCACTCATACGGAGATGGTAAAGTGTAGTAGGCAGTTCTCGAGACTATCATTGTAGATACGTACAGTACCTATCAACTGCCTCGTCAGCCTCGTCAACCTCCACCCGCTCGCCCCGAATGACTGGCTGGCTGGCTGGCTGGGTGAGTGAGTGAGGGAGTACTCGAGTGACTGACTGACTGACTGACCGATTCGATCCTTTTCGCTTCGAGCGGGAAAGGGACGGACGGACGGACTTACTGACGGACGGACGCCTAGGCCCTGCGTGCAGTAGGGCGGAGGAGCAGCGATGTCATTCTGTCGGTCTGGGTCTGGCTGAGCAAAGGGGGGGGGGGGGTGAGGCGGCGGTGGCGGCGGCGGGCAATGCAATAGTCGTGCGATGCCATGTAGGTACGAGCTTGTGTGCGCCGCTAGTAGGGATGAGTGGTGTTTTGTGGTTTTGGGGCATGATGGGGGGGGGGGAACGAGAAAAAGCCACAGGGTCCTGTCACCCCCACCTGCGATGGAGTCAGTCCAGTCCAGGCCAGGCCAGACCCTGAACGGGGAACATATAAACGGTCGGGGAAATAATCATTGGATGAGGGAGGTTTTTGCATTTGCATTTGCATCGCATCGCATCGCATCGCGTCGCATCGCATCGCATCGTAGGGCGAAAAGGCTTCATCGATCGAGATTGCTGGGGTAGGAAAAGGGGATTTTTTTTCGGCGGCTTTATTCTTCTTCTTTTCCTCCTGCAGGTTTGATTGGTGTGCCTTGCTCATGTGGTCGACCGGCTTGCCTCGACCGACGGGAGCCTGGCGGGCTTCACCGCCGCTTTTTTTTTTCTTTTCTTTTTTTTTCTGGCCTTTTGCCTTTTCGATCTGGTCTCGTTGTTCCTGGGTGAAGTAGAGAAGTAACGGCGTCATGAAAGGTGGTGCTGTGTATAAGCCGACTTCGAAGACAAGTGAGCATGTATTGGAGCAATGGGACGAGTAACGACATCGTTCGACTCGGCCAATGATTTGATAAGAGAACAGCGAAAGGAGTTCTCTACATCCTTATGTCCCTCAGTGAACCGAATAGGAAAGACGAATAGGAAAGACGAGGGCGAGACAAGCATGGAGTCCCTGTATTGTAGTAAACGTAACAGTACGGCGGAGAAGATACACGTCGATCCATTGCTGCCGGAGGGATGCTGCGACGGATCAACCTGGCTTGATGACCAAAGTCATTGAGCAGGGACCTCAGACGGAGGCCTTCATGAGCAGCCCAAGGGCGTACAGAGGGCGGTTCCGTTCCTGTTGATTGGGTTGCGATACGTAGTTGGGGAGTGAGGCTGACTAGGTACCCGATGCTCTCAACCTATTGGTTGATGTGCCGGACGCGGCGAAACACCCTCGTTCATGGCACAGCGGGTTGCAAGGGGATTGAGCTCCCAAATTTTGCACCGCATTCACGTGGGTCGTCGAATCCATGCCTGGATGCAAATATAAATTTCCAGACCTCACATACAAGTTTGCTGCAACTCACTGTTTGGACTTATGGGGAAGACAAGAAGCCCAAGGGAAACCTGGGACGCTACCTAATAAGCGGTGCAGCAGTATGTCCGTGCGCGGTGAAACCGTCTCGCCAGGTACCGGTACAGCTCCCGATGCTTTGCCATAGTTCAGCTGGGCTTTTGGGTGGAGCTGAAGTGGCACATTTGTGGCGGAGCTCGGTGGCGCTGAGAGCCTGGATCCGATTCTTATTTCCTTATCGCCATCTAGCGGCGCTACAGATGACTCGCTATAGGTTTGATCGATCAATCCATGGCGATTGATTTTTGACCAGACGTTTTGTCGGCGTCGTATCGTAGACGTGGCAATTCATCTGTTGGTCAGCGAGAGAAGAGTCACGGCGCTTGCGCGGGTGATTTCGGATTTGCAGGTACGCCCGACGGCGTGTGGCTCTCACGGTTTGATGAGGTGAAGCGGGAAAGAAGCCGAGTGCCAGCGCATGGACGGCCGAAGACGCGGCGTGCCTCGGTGAGGATTCTCGCGATCGCGATCAGAGAGAAGGATCTGGCCGAAATGGTCGGAGGTCTGGGTGCAGGCATCGGGATTCGTCTTATAGGGATCATGGTGCAAATAGGAGGTGTTCTAGAAGGAAGGCGCATTGACTGTACAGAGGACGGAGAGTTCGTATGCACCGTTTAGCCGCGGGGGATTGGAGAATTAGAGTTGGGCGTATCTGGAAGCCGAGGAACGGTGAAGCATTGTTGCGAATGATGTCAACCGCAGATCAGGCAGGCCATGAGTGCTTTTGCCGCGTAGAGCGGAAGTGCCGTCTCGCGACGCGTGAGATGCGATTGATTCGCGTCGGCTGCATTGACCGCTGCAGTGGCCCGCGGCGCTTCTGCACGTCGCTCTTGTGTGCAGGGACTGTGTGGCGCCAGTCCGGACCATGCAGCTGCGTCAACGGCGTTCAGCTTCGCTTGAGAATGACAGTGTGCGCCCGCGTCTATTGGCATTCAAGCTTTGCGGTGGCGGCGTGTTTAAGGGGGGTCGTGCGAATGTGGCTATAGACAAATTTGGCACACAACCCCTCGAGGAAGCCATGAACCTGCAACGTCAGCTCGCAACATGGGGGCGGTTGCGAAGCGGGCAATCGCGCACGAACATGTGGGACGGAACCGCAGAAATAAGCGCCCGGTCGGTGTTCTTCGTTCAGCTGTATTGGCCTCAGCTGAGCGACCATGAAGCGGCTCGTTCTTGCTAGGAAAGTGGTGGTGTTGAGAGATTTCCAGAGAACTGGTTAAGCTCCAGCACCATACGGCGGACCGAGTTTCGGCAGTTCTCTGACAAGCCGCCTGCCCTCATCCGATTGAGGTCCACGGTACCTGGTGACCGTCCAGAGCGTGTGGCCACATGGCATGCCAACTGTGATGTCTGGCGGTGAGGGGGCCGTGCTGGAGATCACGGACACAGACGGACGGCCTGCGCCGGGCGACGCGGAGAGCCCTTGCGCGAATCGCTCGTGGCTCCAGCCTCCAGGTGGCTGCTGGGATTCTGCCGTCGAGCTGTTCGCACTGCCACTGTCAGTAGTGAAGACCGGAACACTAACGACTGTGCCGCACAGTTCCAGCTGAAGACCCCGGCACTCCGCTGGCGCGGATAATAAGGCTCGACCGGCGGCTTCCCAACCGGGAAGAGGGGAGGATCAAGCGTCCAGGAAAAAAGCGGAACCGCCGTGGGAAGCGGCACCCATGTTTGCGCGTGCGGGCGAGCACGCTCTCTTGCAACAGTCTCACCCGCTCGTCAATGGCCGGATCCCCTTGGCACACCTCACGCGGCACAGCACCTCCAACGGCTGACTCGCACTGCCAATCCACAGCTTCCTCGTGCAGTCCTCATGACTGAGCACGGTTGCCCGTTCGGGCAGCGAGGTTGGCTGCTCAGCCCCAGTTCGGAGGCAGCCGGTAGGGTCTGGCCGGTGTTGGCAAGGCTGACGGTCAGCAAACGCGCAGATCCGGGCGGCGCGAACGCTTTTTCCTCGATTTTTTCTGCCTATCGTGACAATCGCACGGGCACGCTGGCACTGCCAACGGCGCGCGTGCATGCTTCGAGGCGCTCCCGTGGCCATGTCGAGATCAGCTGTCGAGTCGAGCGGATCTGCGGCGGCTCCACGGATGCGCGAGAGTTTGATAGCTGCCCGCCGCGCGGACGCGACGCGCCGGCACATCTGTACGGCGTAGGTCGGCGGACGGGGGGTGCTTGACTGGCGCAGCGTGAGACGGAGCGGCGACCGATGCGGGGGAGAGCCATGGCGGTTTCATCATCCATGTGTTAGCCGCTCGCGCTGCGGCGCCCACGCGCAATCTTCGCGCTGCTTTCGCGCCATCGCGACGGGGCGCCAATAATCGTCGATGGGGTTAGCCTTGGGTTGACGCTTGGTGTGCTATTACGAGGGTGCCTGTAAGTCGGCCTGTGGCCTGACGGGCATGCCGCCCTTGCAGCGCGTCATACGCTAGCCAATGGCGCGCTAGTGCCTCGTTGATGGCGGACAACTGGCAGAACCCATGCGGGCGAGAGCAAGTGGGGACACGGTTGGGCTTGGGCCACCCTGCCGCCGTCGCAGCGGGCAAGGTTATCAGGGCGCTGCGACGCCCTAAGAGTCGACGCCCGCCGCGCTGAAGTCACCCACCATCCGTCCCCTCACTTTGCCGTGCGCTCTTCGCCGACTGCACTACTCCAATTTCCTCGTTTGCGCATTGCAGTCACCCTCGCGCCCGCCGCATCCCTTGCACCCGCGCTGCCGCCGAGCTTGCGCCGAGCTTCTTGACCGCACGCTGAGCTCATTCATCGCCCGCCCGAGCGTCTTGGCGCCGTCCCCCAAGCGAGATCTCCAGCAGCCGCGCAGCGACTGAGACGCCGCTCCCTTTCTTCTCTGAAGAATTCACCGTGCTCACCACCGCCGCACGACGCCCAGATCGCCGCGCCACTGCCTCCAAGAAAGCCCTTCGACCTCGCCCGCCGCGCAACCAGATATCTCCACTTGAAACCCCGCTCTCCCGCCGCTCTCCCGCCGCTACCCGCACCGCAATCAGACGCTCCACCCACCGCACCCAGCCGCGCCCATCCCCACCACCACGCACCGGCTCCCGATTTTTCTCGCGTCCGCACGCGTCATCTGCTCTGCTGAGCTGGCCACGACCGACTTGTCGCCCTCCCGCTCGCCCACCATGGCTGCGACGCGTCGCCAGCAGGCGCCGCTCCAGATTTTCCAGGATCCCGTCACCTCGTTCGACCACCATGAAGTCGCCGAAGCCGAAGCTGCGCTGCTGTCCGCCCTCGGTCCCGTAACCGATGTGTCGTCGAGTCACCACACCCTCCTCAACCCCTCCCACTCCGAGGGGAGCGCACACTCGCCGCGCAAGCCGCGGGGGCAGGAGTCTAGCTCGCCGGCCCCGCACGCTCTCGCTGAGAGCAATATCAACTCCATCTCCATCCCTCCTCCCCGTCACAACGACTTCACCACCGACTCGCCTCTGAAGAGGAAGGCCTCTCAACCGGACCTCCGCGCGCGAAAATCGCAGAACGCCCTCTTCACCACCTTCCACTCTGCCGGCGCCACGGACAAGGAGAACGACTACGCCCCCGTATACGCCAACAACTTCCCCCAATTCTCGGATCCCATCTACCAGAAGAACCCAGCAAAGCACCAGCTCATGGATGCTGCGCCGCTGCGCGACCGCAATGCGAAGAAGCCGACGAAGCCTCAGGACGATGACCCGAAGCCTCTCCCCGCACCTGCTGAGATGCCGCCCATTGAGGACGATGGCACCAAGCCGGCGTACAGCTATGCCACCCTCATTGGCATGGCAATCCTGCGCGCGCCACAGAGGCGACTCACTCTCGCACAGATCTACAAGTGGATCTCTGAGACATTCAGTTATTACCGTGCCGGTGAGACGGGGTGGCAGAACAGCATCCGGCATAACCTCAGCCTCAACAAAGCCTTCATCAAACAGGAACGTCCCAAGGACGACCCTGGCAAGGGCAACTATTGGGCAATCGAACCCGGCCTCGAGCGCCAGTTCATGAAGGAGAAACCCCGCCGCATGACCAACCCGGGAGACCCCAGCTTCCTGCAGTCTTATCACGGCGATATCCTGAGACCGTCAACAGCACCGTCGTCAAGGCAACCAGCAGTGTCGGCGTTCCCGCTCCAATCCACTCCCATTGGCGAGAGCATCGACTCGAGCAAATTCCCCGATGAGACTGAGCTGTCATCTGACGCGACCATCCCTGCCTCGGATCCGGCGATTCACGACGGACAGGACGCTGGCAATGAAAATGAGAAGTCGCACGCCCTGCGTTCTTCACCGCCGCCCCCGGCTGAGATCCACTCTTCGCCCCCGCCAGCCATGTCTCAGTCGCAGCACGAGGGGACCCCTCCCCGTGCGCCACGCTTGTCGTCCACGAGCCGTTCCGGCGGTCGGAAGCGGAAGTTCTCCACTCTGGGCGACAGCGGGTACTACTCGTCCATCGAGTCATCGGCTGTCAAAGGTCACCACGCCCTTGGAGCCATTCCCACTTCAGAAGCGGATCTTGACCGGCCAGCGCACAAGCGTGGTCGCGCCGAAGAAGAAATCGCGCGGATGCGTGGGTCATCGTACGACAGTCCCACGAAGAGCCGTCCTCTCCTCAAGCAGCCTGGCAACGTGTACCCGTCATCGTCGCCTTTCCGTCTCTTCGACAAGAACACGGTCGAGCTGGCGACACCACTCACACCTGCCATTGTCTTCAAGAAGCCTGCTAGGCCTCCTGCATCCATCTCCCCAAACACCAACCTTCGTAACCACCGCGACCGCGTCCGTGAGATGGTTGGGTCTCCGGACAAGACGCTCGGTTTGCTTGCTGATGTGAACCCCTGGAGCCCCGCTTTCCACTTGCCTGATGAGGATAACTTCAACCTCCTGGAAGACCACTTCAACGACAACTTTGACGTGTTCAATGACAGCCCGCTGCAGCAATCCCGGTCTTCTCGCGGTTCGCCTGAGAAGCGTTCCATCAAGCGACCTTCAAGCGCTCGTGCCATGACCTCTTCCAGCATCCTTGCTGACATTACGGGCTCGCGCGCCAACATCGCGACGCCCGAGTCATCGAAGCAATGGCTCAGGCCGCCGTCGCACAAAAAGAGTCTGTCTGACTTCTTCGCTGGAAGGACGTCGGCAGCTCCCAGCCCTCTCAAGACTCCTGGCGCATCCAAGGCCGACGACCTCTTTGGTATCGACCTTTGCGATGATGACGGCGAAGAGCCCGGCTTGGGCTTTGACATCCTCCAGGGCTTCCAGAAGATCGGTGCTCGCCAGCCGCAGCTTGAGAGCCCTACCAAGAAGTCCAAGCCCGCATTCGGCCGGAGTCACACAACTCTGCTCTGAGCGACGTCCAGTACAGCTGGATGTTTATACTGCAAGCGCCATTACGATTGACATTATGCGTCGTCTTCGCACGTCTTTTGGCCGGCGTTTGCAACATCGGATGAGAGCGGGACGAGGGCCATGAATGACAAGCCTCGTTCCGATTCACGACCGTTACGACCACGAATGATACCCCACAACACTCACACCACGACTCCAGCGCTCTGGAGGCGCAGGCACACCCGGAGCAATTTGGCTTAGGCGCACTTTTTGGTCCGAGTGGCTCAATTACAATTCACGAACCCTTTTTTTTTTTGGATAGTAGAAGACCTCCGCGTTACGGCGGTTAGTATTTTCATTCCTACTCACTTTCAGGCCCATACTCGTTCTCATCAACTGTGGTTGGTGATGTTGAGGCTTGTTTTCTCTTGGCGGTTTCCTCAGTTCTTGTTTATTAGGTAGTTCTCGGCTTTACGGTTCTTCATGTTGATTTTGGATTTGGTTTGGCTTGTCACTGTCGGTCGTTATTGGAAGCTTTGGGAAAGCTAGCACCTGCAATTGGGGATTTCACGGTATAGACACAGGCGCATGGTTTCGGGGCTGACAAAAAGGGGAGCAAACACCGGGGGCATATTGCGGGACTCTTTTTCGACCTTGGGCTCGGCGCAAAGTATCTTTTCACTGGGACAACATTGGTCGGGAGTCGACTTGCTTCCATTTTCATTTCTCCCTTTTTTGTTTTATTCGCCCC